AATAAATAAATAAAATCTTTAAAAAAAAAAAAAGAATCAACATATCTAAAAAGTACTAAGGTTTGCTAATAAAAATGCCATATTAAGAGATGGAATCAAAATTTAGTGTTGGTTTTGAACCCATCTTAATTGGCTAAGTTCAGTAAGAATATTATAGTGCTTAAATAATTTTAGCAGTGCAAATGCAATTTAATATGTTTATTTTTGTAAAGGCAATTAAGTGCAGGCAGATAATATATTTCTGGAATTATGTTACAGATTAAAGTTAATGGGCTTTTTTTTTTTTTTTTTTTTTAGTTTTAGTTTTAACTAAGACCAGTTCATAAGTTATAGTGAAATAGATGTCTTACTGGAAAAAAAATCTAAGGAAATGGCTTTGTATGTTTCATGGGTTCTTTTGTTTGTTTTCCTTAGCAAGAGTGAGGACATAGTAAGAAGCTAAAGATAGCTTCTTACTCATGAAGAACACTCCAGTAAGATTATCAGTTGTTATTTACATGTCTGTGTTACTAAGATTTTGGAGAAAAATGCCTTTTATGTTGTTTGGTCATACCTGAGAGCATTGATTAGGGGGTACTTAGAAAACGTTGCTGAAATTGTAAACTCCTTATAAAAACAGTTATTGCTAGATGCCTGCATATTGAATCAAAGTTTATTACTAGGAAAAGTCACACTGGATGTAAGAAGATTGTAAGACTACTATTCTTGCTGTGTTCTGCCCAAGTAGTTGACTAGAAGTTTATGGATAAAAAGTACTGTCACTTTCCAAATGTATTTCAGTCTGCAGTTATTGAGAACCTGCTATGTGTCAGACATGAGGTATTGGGAATGAGTGAATGAGAACAGATACCTGCCCTGAACCATGTTAGTCCCTCTCTCCTTGTGACCCAGTTTATTCAGCATGAAGGACGTAATGAGCCACAGAACCTTAGTGGTGTTTGCTCAAATCAGTTTTGTGTTGAACTTTACTGATCTGTTTTTAACAAAAATGCTTCAGCTGCCAACTCTGCTATTTAATTATGTGATTGAACTTGGGAAAATTATTTGATTTCTTTTTTTTAAAGATTTTATTTATTTATTTGACAGAGAGAGAGGGATCACAAGTAGGCAGAGAGGCAGGCATAGAGAGAAGGGGGGAAGCAGGCTCCCCGCTGAGCAGAGAGCCTGATGCGGCCTCGGTCCCAGGACCCTGGGATCATGACCTGAGCTGAAGGCAGAGGCTTAACCCACTGAGCCACCCAGGTGCCCCTCTGAGTCTGATACTCCTTAAATGGTAACAGGGATAGTAATTTCTCCATTGCAATGTCATTGTGAATGTAAGTGCCTGATTCAGTGCCTAGTATATTATTGGTGCTTAGCGGTTTTTGTTGTCTTCCCCTCTTGGCTCAGACAGGATTCTGAGATTTTGATTTGGTGATCTTTTAAGGAATAAGCAAGCTGTATCATAGTTTTGATTTGCAATATTTTATTCAGTATTTCTGAGTTCTTTTACTTATAAGTATTGCTCTAAGTTGCAAATTAAGTATCCTAGGAGTTCTTGCAGTATATAATTTCTTAGACACTTTTTAAATTAATTTGAAAGTAAACTCTGCCCCCAACATGGGGCTTGAACTCATGACCCCAAGATCAGAAGTCACATGCTCTACTGACTGAACGAGCCAGGTGCACCTTCTTAAGACATTTTAAAGCACTCTTTTTTATAAGTTTATGTGCTTGCTGGTGAAGTTTAAGTATCTTTTAGTTGTGTGACCCTGAATTGCTACTGAGCTAGTAAGTTCAGTGCCTTTGGCTTTGAGTAATAATCATCAGCCACAGAGCAACAAACTCAGATTGCCGGCCTCATGTGTCTTTTTTGGTTGGAAACACTGACACTTAATTGGCAATGACTGTGTTTTTTAAATTTTTCAAGTATCAAACGATATTGAATATTTTCTAATTTCTGAATTATTTTTATAATGATTCTATAGTGTTTTAGTAGAATTCACTCAGTTGTTGCTTTTCTTTGCAATATCTATTTTTATAAGAGGTTTTAAGGAAAAAGGACACTTTCTGGGGTGGTCTGCCCATTTTGTAACAGTCACTTCTCTGAAAATTCACCCTTATCCTGCCAGATGTGGGCATTCTTCCTCCTAAAGTTGTGTGTGACCTACTTGCAAGCCTTTTATCCTTTTGGTCACATATAAATTGGATTAGGGATAAAAAAGAGACTCTAGCTGGATTATTTGGAATGATATGGGTATTTAGAAGTGGGACCGAATGATGACTGGTCTTTAAACTACTTGTGTGAACTAAAGTGTTGAAGACTTGGAACGTGTTTGCAGCTATCTTCAGCACTGTACACGGAGAAAAAGAAAAAAAGTCAGTCTGCAGAGAGAATGGTATAGATGGGCAGAAACAGACTAAAGTCAGAAGGAGAGTACTATCTGGGTTCCTAACAGCTTCCTGGGTCTTTATTCTAGTGCTTTGTGAGTCCTAGTTATCCTTCAATATTGTAACATACCTCAGTGATCTTCCAATAAGTTTCCCTTTTTTGCACAAGGCTGCTCAAAATTCTGTTTCTTAATTTTTATTTTTTATTTTTTTTAAGATTTTATTTATTTGACAGAGATCACAAGAAGGCAGAGAGACAGGCAGAGAGAGAGAGAGGAGGAAGCAGGCTCCCTGCTAAGCAGAGAGCCCTATGCGGGGCTCGATCCCAGGACCCTGGGATCATGACCAGAGCCGAAGGCAGAGGCTTTAACCCACTGAGCCACCCAGGCGCCCCAGTTTTTATTATTATTTTGTTGAACTTCTAAAAAAGCTAGATTAAGCTTAAAAATAAAATGGGTGTGAATATCCACATGCAGAAGAATGAAGTTAGACCCCTCCCTTACACCATACACAAATGGATCCTAGACCTAATTACAAGAACTAAAACTATAGAACTCTTAGAAAAATGAAAGGGCAACTCACAGAATGTGAGTTTTCTCACAGAATGTGAGAAATTATTTACGTGTTTTATGACTGAGAAGGTGCTTTTTTCTTGAATACTCGGGGGGAAAAAACCCAAAACTCAAAAGCCACTCTTAGAACTCAGTGATAAAAAGAACAATCCAATTTTTAAGTAGGCAAAGACTGAATAGACTTTTCTCCAAAGAGAATATGCAAATGGCTAATGCTTAACATGATTAGTCATCAAAAATATAAATCAAGACCACAGTGACATACCACTTCACATCCACTGGGATGACTGTAATTAAAAGGATAGAAAATAACAAGTGTTGGCATGGCTGTGGAGAAATTGGAACCAACATAACATTGCTGGTGGGAATGTAAAGTGGTGTAAATACTTTGGAAAACAGTTTGGCCTTGTTTCAAACACAGTTACTGTGGAACCAGCAGTTCTACTCCTGGGCATATACCCGCAAGAAACATGTTCACACAGAACTGGTGAACAGATGTTTAAAGCATCATTATTCATAATAGCTAAAGAGTAGAAACAACCCAAATGCACATCAGCTGATGCATGGATAACCAAAATGTATTATATCCATAAATGGAGTATGATTGAGTCATAAAAAGAAATGAAGTGTTTATATAAACTGCAATATGAATGAATCCTAAAACCATCCCGAATGAAAGAAGCCAGACACAAAAGACCACAACGTGTATGATTTCATTTATATGAAATGTCCAGAATAGGCAAACCCATGGAGACAGAAAGGCAATGAGTAATTTCCAGGGACCTGAGAACGGGAAATAGGCAGTGATGGGTAATAGGTAAAGGATTTTGGGGGAAGATGGAGATGGCCTAACATTAGATTTAGATCATGGTTATGGTCCTACAACTCTGTGAATATACTAAAATTCATTGCATTGTATACTTTAAATAGATGAGTTGTATGGTATATGAATTATATCTTAATAAAGGTATTTTTTAAAGCTCCAAAAATAACTATGAAATAATAATAAAAATAAAATTTTTAGAAATAAAAAAATATATTTCTAGAGGTGACTTTTGTTGTAACCGTTTTTTCTTTCATAAGTTTCATACCTAAATACATTTTTCTTTTTTAACAATGACATAGAAAATTGTGAGTACCATGGTACTTCATTTAAAAATATGAACACAATTTAGTGCTGATTGTATCAGTTTGAGTGACAGTTAAATTGAAATGTAGATTTTTTTTTAATCTAACATTTCTCTCTTTGCCATTATGTTTTGGGGGTGAACGGAGACAGTTGTGGTATTCTGAAAAGATCTCTGAACTTAGTACTTGCTAAAGCAGGACAAACATTAAGTGTTCAATCTGTGGTCTTGAATAAACAACATCTTAGAGCATTTTAGGTTTCAAAATTTTGAAGTGAGGATCATGCTGGGCTAAAAATTTTTTTTTCTTTCTGTAGTAGTTTGGGGAGATTTTCCTAAAAAAAATAAGTATAGGTATATTCATAGGTGTTTCAATTTGACCACACCAGTATTATTTAAATTTTAAGCATTTTGCAGAAAGTGTCCAACTTGTCTAATGCTTAGTATTACACGTGAGAAAATAGGTTCTCAGTCTATACTATTTATTTATTTACTTATTTATTTTCATTCTATATTATTTATAGAAATTGAAATTTTAATCACCTGGGTGGAGAAGTCCGTTAAGCATCCGATGTGTCATCAGTTTTGACTGGTTTTAGATATTATTGTATCTAAAAATTAATGTTAATTTTAGTGTAGCTGATTCATCTATAATTAATTTTTTTTAAATGTATCAACTGTAATCATTTTTCACCTTTTAGTTTTTGATAATATATATATTGCTTTATGATGCACAGATAACAGGTTGATTTTAGAGAAGTCTGGTATAATTGTATCCGGTCTCCAGACTGAGTTATTTAGTGACAAATATGTGGTAAATACACTTTTATGTTGCAGTTAAGTGAGGTTATGGGATAGGTTTCTGTTTCCTTTTTTTTTCTTTAAGCTTGATAGTTGCATGATTAATATGCTGGCTTTTTCTTATTTCCAGAGATCCTTCATATTTTGATGAAAATTGGCTAAACAGAATCAAAACTGAAGTAGGAGATAATTGGAGGCTAAAGGTATTTTCTTTTTATTTTCCCATCTGTTAAATAGTCTTTCAGTTGTTTGTATATAATATCTGTTGAACTTCCATCTGACGTGTTCAGTGAACTTCAGAAACCCAGATTGCCTGTAGTAAAATAATCCAGAATTAAGGATTAGAGGTAACTTGAAGTTGCTCATAAAGATACATACATAGTGTAAGTCAGTGGGACACAGTGACAGTGGACATGGATTCTAGAGCCAAGGTGCCTGTGTTTGTATCACAGCTCTACCATTCAGTGTCTGGGAAAGACTGATCATTCTGTACCTCAGTTCCCTATTTGTAAAATGAGGGTTGTAATAGGATCTACCTCACAGAAATAAATGAGTTAGTATATATAACATATTCGGGATTGTGCATATGTAATGTTAGTTGCTAGAGTTGTTATTAATAATGAGAAAATATTGGTCAATGTTAACTGAGCACACAATAAGAGAATGAAGTATTTTCATTTCTTTCTTAGTAGCCTTAAGTTCCAGTATTTCTCAGGCTTCTTTGAGAAAGTCAAAACCCACAAAAAGAGGGGTGCCTGGGTGGCTCAGTCGTTAAGCATCTTCTTCAGCCCACGTCGTGATCCCAGGGTCTTAGGATTGAGCCCTGCATCTGGCTTCCTGCTTCTCCCTCTCCCACTCCCCCTGCTTGTGTGCTCTCTCACTGTGTCTGACTCTGTCAAATAAATGAAATCTTTTAAAAAAAAAAAAAAAGGAAAAGAAATACGGTTTACATTGTAGCCTCCTGTCCACCTATGCACAAACATAGTTTGTGTATGTATACATGCACAAACATAGTTGAACAAGTTTTTTCCCTTATTCTAGGTACTGACATTTTGATTTTTAAAAAATTAGTTGCAACCCACTAAATTAGTTTTATATTTTGAAATAATTCTAGATTCACAGGGGCCTGCCAAAAAATGTAGAGAAGTTCTATGTATCTTTCACCCAGTTCCCCCAGGGTTACATCTTGCGTAACTGTAATCCAGTATCAAAACTAGGAAACTAACATTGGTACAAGTCAGTTCATTCAGGTTTCACCAGTTTTACCTATGCCATTTGGTGTTTGTGTGTACACTTCTGTGTAGCTCTAGCAATAATGTAGTTTCCTGTAATGCCCACTACAGCGAAGACACAGAATTGTTACATCTCTGCAAGACTCCACATGCTTCCTTCATGACCACATCCATACCACATACTCCCCACCCTATTACCTGGAAACCATTAATTTGTTCTCCGTCTCTATAATTTTGTTACACTAAATTGATTTTTATGACCCAGTGATGATTATGACTGCCAGTTTGGAAAGCTCTAGAACCATTTCTCTTTGATATAGAAGGTATAGACTCAGAAATGCAAATGAGTAAGCATGTGAGGTCCCTGGACTTGAAATGTTAAGCTTGGTTTGTTTTTATATTTCTTCTATAAAACACATACTTGATAAAAAATAGTCATTGATTGTTTAAATATTGGGTCTGCCAAAATTTAATTCCTTTTGTTTACTCGGCTAGAGTGAATGAATGGACACTGATTTAAGCCATTTAAATTAAAAGCCATATTTTAATTTCTAAATCTTTCAAAAATAGACAATTCAATGACTTATACATATATAATATTTTATATATAACATATGTTAAAATATTTTACGTATATGTATATACATATATATTTTTTATATTTATATTTTTTTTTTAGACAAGGAAGGAGGGAGGGAGGGACAGAGTGGGAGAGAATCCTAAGCAGGCTCCACACCCAGTGCAGAGCCCACTGCGGGGCTTGATCTCACAACCCTGAGTTCATGACCTGAGCCAAAATCAAGAGTCATTCACTCAACGAAGCCACACAGCCATGCCTAAATGATTACTTTTTAATATTATAACATGTGTAAAGCAATTCTGGATATTTAAAATAATGCTACTGATCAATTTGTGTTTGGTTGGTGTCTTGACCAAAGAGAGAGTTATATATCCTATCTTCCATGCATGCAACACACATGTAAAATTCACCCTGTCTTCAGTGTCATGAGTGTGGCAGGGACAGTAATAGAGAAGGGGGGAAAACTTATATTCTTAACATTCAGAACTGGAAATGTCAGTTCTGATTTGCATTCCCATTCTCCTTATTATATCCTATGTTATATTTCTTCAATTTTAAGGTACCATTGATTATATAACTCTTTTCAATGGGAAATAAACTACCATTTTATTTATTTATTTTTTTAAGACTTTTTAAAAAATTTATTTGACAGAGATCACAATCAGGCAGAGGCAGGCAGAGAGAGAGAGAGAGAGAGGAGGAAGCAGGCTCCCTGCGAAGCAAAGAGCCCAATGTGCGGCTTGATCCCAGGACGCTGGGATCATGACCTGAGCTGAAGGCAGAGGCTTTGACCCACTGAGCCACCCAGGCGCCCCTAAACTACCATTTTAAATGAACACATTTCATCAATGAAATTGATTTTTGAGACATTGTAATTTTAAATGTTAAAATATGAAAAAATGAACATTGTAGAATAAAGGAAATAAAGTATATTATCTATTTTCCGTGTCTCCAACTTTTTCTAGAAGTATAAACATGATAGTTTTCTTTATGAGCTGTTTTTTTTAAATAAGTTTTCAGGGCACCTTGGTGGCTCAGTTGGTTGAGCATCCAGCTGTTGGTTTCAGCTCAGGTCATGATCTCAGGGTCATAAGATTGAGCCTCGCTTTGGGCTCCGTGCTCAGTAGGGAGTCGCTTTTCTCCTTTTCTCTGCCTCTGCCCCCCCACTGCAACATTTGTGCTGTTTTTCTCTCTCTAAAAAAAAATGTGTGTGTGTATGTATAAATCTTAAAAAAAAAAAAAAAGTTTCAGTTTATTTTTTCCCTTAAAATAATGTCTGATTGCATTGGATCACACTGCTGTGATGAAGCCACTTTTACTTGATAGTCACAGGTTCTGCTGTCTTCTGTCCTAAGACATCTTTAGCTACTACCATGGAGTAGGGTCATTTAGGTAGATGGTTAACAGAATCATACTCTGTACACATTTAACTTAACACAAATTTAACTGTATGAGTTGGGTCAAGAAAGAAAAGGGGAAAAAATAATAGCTTAAGTAGTATAGGTGACATAGTATAGGTGATAGCTACCTGTCATTTCACTCAGATAGCGTATAGACCAGTGAACCCCTGCTTTGGAGTGGCTGAGTGAGAGGAAACACGTTGTTGGTCCCTCCCCTTATTTTGTTTCTAGGATGCCTTTTATTCTTTGCTTTTTTTTTTTTTTTTCGAAGTAGGCTGCATGTCCAATGTGGACTCCAAGGTGGGGCCCGAACACATGACTGTGAGATCAAGACCTGAGCTAAGATCAAGAGTTGGATGCCCAACCAGCTGAGCAACCTAGGCGCCCCAGGATGCTTCTTATACCACAAGTATCTTGCAGTGCTTTATACTAGCATTTCAAGATATAATAGTATTTCTTTAACCATATGGCTCCTAAATATTTACTTTGGTGCTCAAATAAAGGAAACCACAATCTTTTCTGTAGTTAGATGCTCTGCCACTGAGCTATATCCCCTCACAATCTTTTCTGACAGTGGAGAGAACTTGGAGACATTATACTTCGGTTACTTTAAGAGATTATCAGTTTTTGTCAGTGTATTTATAACACTGAAAATTTAACATGATTGGAAACAATTTTTTTTAAGATTTTATTTATTTATTTGACAGAGATAACAAGTAGGTAGAGAGGCAGGCGGACAGAGAGGAGGAAGCAGGCTCCCTGCTGAGCAGAGAACCTGACTCAATCCCGGGACCCTGAGATCATGACCTGAGCGGAAGGCAGAGGCTTAATCCACTGAGCCACCCAGGCACCCCTGGAAACAATTTTTTTAATTAATCTTTTTTTTTTTTTTTTAAGATTTTATTTATTTGTCAGAGACTGAGAGCAAGCACAAGCGGGGAATGGTAGAGGCAAAGGGGGAGCAAGGAACCCGACTTGGGATTTGATTCAGGACCCTAGGATTGTGACCTGAGTTGAGGGCAGATGCTTAACTGACTGAGCCACCCAGGCATCCCTGAAAACAAATTTTTTTTAATAAATCTCTTGAGATCAGTTAAATTGAGCCATTGATAAATTGATAGTCCTTTTTTGATGATGAGGGTAATTCACATGTACTGTTGAATTTTTTTTTAGTGTTTATGATTTATAGAATAATTAGTTGGTTCAGAAATTTTTAAGATTTTATTTCAGAGAGAGTGAGCAAGTATGGGGGGGTAGGCAGAGGGAGAGAGAGGAAGAAAAGTAGGCTCCCCACTGAGCTGGGAGCCCAGTGATATAGGGCTTGATCCTAAGACCCTGAGATCATGACCTGAGCCAAAAGCAGATGTTTAACTGACTAAGCCACCCATTTGCCCCCAGAAATTTTTTATGTTAAATTATATTTTGATTTGTGCTTCCCTTTTATGCAGTTGTTTTATTTCTTTCTGAACAGATAAGCAATTTAAAGAAAATTTTAAAGGGAATCCTGGATTACAATCATGAGGTAAGGACTTTTTCTCACTCTGCTTTGAAGTATTACTATAGGATAACTTAATTTTACAATATTTTTCAATAGTTTCAAGTAAAGGAAAATTTACCCAAAATTTACCATTTATCTTCCACTGTATGGTTCTTAGGATGTTGGTTCAGACAGCTATCTATTAGGTAGGTAGTAGGTAAATGCTCTTTTTCACTGTAATATGGATAGTTTGTAGATGATTATTAATTTATGTTATATTTCCTTTTCTGCCATCTGTTAACTCTTTTTTTCTCCCCTTGTGAAGGTGGTTTAGAATCCTGGTATCATTATAGCCAACTCCCTTGCTTACTTTAGTTTTATTTCTTGGCAGACCCTCATCCCTAGATTAATTCAATTTATCCTCTGAATCTAACATCAGAACAGTCAAGGCATACCTTGGGGGAAAAAATCAGGCAGTAGAACTAGTTTTACTTTAAATTTCATGATCACAGATGTCAAATGGACACAACATACCCTGGAAGCCCCACAATTTTATCTGCGTTTATACCTACATCTATACATAAATCATTTATCTTCACAACTAAGTGCTCCTGCCGTCCACCCTATTACTCAAGCCCAAAACCTATAAATAATCCTGTAGTCCTTCTTTGATATCGTCATAAGACTTACTAGTTAAATCTCCAAAATAACAGCTTTTTCTGTCTCTAACTGCTACCACCTTCTACCAAGCCATCATTAGCTCTTGCTTAGATTTCTAGAGTAGTCTGACTGGTGACCCTGATTTCGCCCTTGCCCCTCTACAGTCTGTTCTTATTCTTCCCTCTAAAACCTGAATAATTTTTTTTTTTAAGATTTTATTTTATTTATTTGACTGACAGAGAACACAAGTAGGCAGAGAGGCAGGCAGAGAGAGGGGAGGGGAAGCAGGTTTCCTGCTGAGCAAAGAGCCCAATGCAGGGCTAAATCCCAGAACGTGGGATCATGACCTGAGCCGAAGGCAGAGGCTTTAACCCACCAAGCCACCCAGGCCCCCCAAAAGCCTGAATAATATTTAAAAATATAAGTCTGATTATGCCACTTTTGCGTCTTTTATGGTTTCCTGTTGTATTAAGAATCAGATTCCTACCTATTACCATGAGCCACCAGACACTGCGTGACCTCCTTAACCTGTTTACCCATAATGCTAGAGCCATATACATTCTGCTTCTGTGTTGTTGTTGTTGTTGTTTTAAAAAGATTTTATTTATTTGACAGAGAGAGGTCACAAGTAGGCAGAGAGGGGGGGAGGCAGGCTCCCCGCTGAGCAGAGAGCCCAGTGCGGGCCTCGATCCCAGGACCCTGAGATCATGACCTGAGCCGAAGGCAGAGGCTTAACGCACTGAGCCACCCAGGCGCCTTTGTTCTTTGTTTTTAGGATTTTCTTTTTTCACTGTATGCTTAATAGGAACTTACCCTTGCATATATTTCATTTCATTTGGGGCCAATTTCCCCATGAAGGAATCCTCCATTCTCCTTCCTGATATACGTGTTTGGCTATCAGCATTTTGGAGTCAAATGGAGTGAACATGTTTGGGGGGAATCTTACTGTTGGGGCATGAACATACATTTAATCTCCCCTCTTTCTGGTACCCCCTTGTTCAGGCTGTACTTTGAACTTCAGAGAAATTGTCTTTCTGGGGTGGTGAAGGGATCAAAGTACTCAGTTTCTTTGGTCAGTAGTGTACATACATACCAGATTGGGGTCTAAGTTGTGGTGATGGAGGTTGTTATAACTTAGGTATGAGAGATAAAAACAGAAATTGGGAGTGAAACTGACATAACAGCTCTGTCATTAGCAATGAGTTTCTGGTGCTGACAAACTAATCTGTATCAAATATTTTATTTGGACATAAAATATAAGTGCAATTCTAATCCTGTTGTCTCCATTCAGATTTTAGGACAGCAAATTAATGACTTTACCCTTCCTGATGTGAATCTTATTGGAGAACATTCTGATGCGGCAGAGCTCGGAAGGATGCTTCAACTCATCTTAGGCTGTGCTGTGAATTGTGAACAGAAGCAAGGTAATTTATATGTTAGTGTATGCATTTAAGATAATTAAGGAAAGTAGTACATATTGTATATATTACATATAAATCACCAGTACAAACAATAATATCTTCATAAGGCCATCCTCAAACAATGCCATTTTCTTTTTTTTCCCCCCGAAGTAGGCTCCAGACCCAACATGGGGCTCCAACTCATGACTCTTGAGAGCTCAAGAGTTGTCCACAGTACCAAATGAGCCAGCCGGGTGCCCCAAACAATGCCATTTTCTATAATTTTTCTGGTACTTTGTTTGCAAGTGTAAGAGTTTTGCAATTTAGAATAAATTTGATTGTGATGATATTCTTTCCCTTTAAGCAAGACTACATAATTCTTTGAGTGGATTATTTTTAACTACACTGAATGTGATGAAATTTACTGTTAATTGGACAAGGTCCAGCTAAATTAACATCAGTAATAATGAGATGGTTAAACTGGATCAATTCAGCTCTGGGCACTTAAAATTGGATACTTTAAATTACAAGTATGAAGGATTTATTTCACAAAATTTATTGAACTCGTGCATTATGCCAGGGATAGGAGCGCAGTGCCACACAGAGCTGTGCGATCCGAGTGGTGATGAGTACTGTTGAGGGTAAAGTGTAATGGGGGAGCCGGTCCAGGCGTAGGCCAGGGAAGTTATTTAAGCAAAAATGGGGAGGAAGATAGACTAAGAGTAGTCTGAATAGTATGAACTGAATGTCAGAAAGACTTAGGTTATCTTTGAGAGGTTTAAAAAAAAACCACAAATATAATTAGAGAACAGTGAGGAAGGGAAGAAGGGTGATGAAACAGAAGGGGACTATTCTAAATAATGATGACATAGTATTTTAACTATTATACTAGACTATGACCTTCATAGGAGACAGATTTTTTTTTTAAGCACAAAGATTTTTTTCTTATTCTTTTTACCTCACCCCTGATGATGTAAAATAGATTTTTATTTGACTTGTCTATACATTTTAAGTGTTCCTGTGACAAGTTTAATAATGGTCAACATTGTTTTCTTGAAGCTATGACTAGTATTTGGTCTGTGATCTGAGTTTTTTCTAACAATGTATTTCTCTTTGTCCCCATTCTTTTTAGATTTTTAGCATGCATGCTCTTTTTTTTTTTTTTTTAAGATTTTATTTATTTATTTGACAGAGACAGAGATCACAAGTAGGCAGAGAGGCAGGCAGAGAGAGAGGGGGAAGCAGGCTCCCTGCTGAGCAGAGCCTGATGTGGGGCTTGATCCCAGGACACTGAAATCATGACCCGAGCCGAAGGCAGAGGCTTAACCCACTGAGCCACCCAGGCGCCCCAGCATGCATGCTCTTAAAGTAAGTTTTAGTTTGCTTATTCAGTTCAACTCAAGAATTAAAGTAGAGAATTTTCTACATTTGTGAGTTTTGTATATTACTAAAATATCTAAACGTTTTTTGTCAAAGATTAGAAGATTCGTATAAATAAGATTCAAAACACATTAAATCTCTAAGTAAATGCTTTGATTTTAAAAGGTGTATGAAAATTTATTTAATAAAGTTCACTGAATTCAAATAATGACCTCTTATATGTTTATTCTGTTAAGAGAGTCATCACCTCTTGGAAGCAAAGAGCTATTAAGAGCTGGCTAATTGGATTTACCACAGGGTAGAACTAGGAGAACACAAGGATGTTACCTAGATCCATAGTCCTGTGGAAAAGCAGACAGTCCAGCTTCTCACACAGACCAAGTTTCTCCTGTAACACCTAGGTTTGGTTTCTCCCCTGAAATTGTTTATAAATGATGAAAACTTTGAACGGGGTTTTTAACATCATATTTATCCAGAGGGCATTCTGTTTTCAGAAACATAGTTGAGAGCTAAGAATCAAAGTAAATGAATTCCTGAGTTTAGTATTACTTGTTACTGCACATTTCTCATGTATAATGTGAGGCTTACTAAAGATATTCCATTTGCTACCTGACTGACATTGGACTAGGCACTCAGCCTGTTTCCTCATCTACAGAATGAGAATGCAAAACCTGGTGGTTATGAGGAATAAATGAAATTGTGTATGCGTATTTGCTTTGTAATCCGTAACACTACACAAATAAAAAAGGCCGTATGTTGGGCGCCTGGGTGGCTCAGTGGTTAAAGCCTCTGCCTTCGGCTCAGGTCTCGGGGTCCTGGGATTGAGTCCCGCATCGGGCTCTCTGCTCGGCAGGGAGCCTGCCTCCTCCTCCTGTCTCTCTCTGCCTGCCTCTCTGCCTACTTGTGATCTGTCAAATAAAAAAAAAAAAAAGGCCTTATGTTGAGATGAGTTTTCAATTACTGGAGGTAAGGAGTGATTGCTCAGAACATTGACCTAGGATACTTTTATCTTGGCCATCTGACTTCTCAAATTGGGGGAAATAAATGGTGCTAAAATTGGAAAAAGCAAAGATAAGTAGTAGAAAACACACTGAATTACTGAATGTCTCTCTTCTGCCCAGTACTCTACTAGCTACTAATAGAACAAAAAATACTTTTTACACATTAGGAAAAGCTAGGCAAGGACAACAACCGATGTCTCTCCTTGTTTAAACATCATACTCTTTATACTAATCTGCTATAAATTCTAGCCCTAAAAGCTAAGTTTTCAAGATAATCTTGCTGACCTAGCGCACCTCATTATCCAGCCTCATAGATCTGTACCCAATAATCGTATATACTTGTATTTTGGACACTAAAGATTTGTAAGGTTTTTGTTGTTTTTTTGCTTTGTTTTGTTTTTTGGGTTTTGTTTTGTTTTGCTTTTTTGCTTTTCACAGATTGTACATTAACATAGTTCTCATTGTCATTTTACCATGTAGCATTTTACGGTGTTCGCGGGGAAGGGCCTTGACGTGGCAACACCGCTTCTTAACTAACGCTTCCCCTCTCACACCTAACTAACTTCCTAACCTCCCTGTTCCCACCGTTATTTTCTTCACTTCCAGGAGGCTGTCATTAAATTTTCCTTCCCCATTATCAGTGCCACTGCTTTTTCTTTTCCATGTTCACAATCTTTTATTTCAAGAGCTGTTTAGTCATCCTAGCTGTACCATTTTCTCCAGCGTCTTGTGATTTTTTTGTTTCATACCTTTGAGCAGAATATCAAAAAGTACTCCTTTCTATTCCAAGACTTACAGGATGCTCCTTGTTAACAGGACAAAAAAAACCTGAGGGACGCCTGGGTGGCTCAGTAGGTTAAGCATCTGCCTTCCGCAGATCATGATTCCAGGGTCCTGGGATTGAGTCCCTCATCAGGCTCCTTGCTCAGCAGGGAGCCTGCTTCTCCCTCGGCCTGCTCTGCCTGTTCTGCCTGCAGCTCTCCATGCTTCTACTTTCTCTCTGACAAATAAACAAATAAAATCTTTAAAGAACAACAACAAAAAAAAATTGAGCTCAGAATAAAGGATTTTTTTTTTTCCAAATAGTGGTTCTGATACATTCTTACTGTTATTCTAAGAAATGCCTGTGATTTAAGTGTGTTGTGTATATTTGTATATCACCACACATTTGATTGGGTAGAAGTATCCTTAGAACAACACTTGCTTAAAAATGTGTTTTTGATTAACAAAAAGCTTTGGCATTAACAACCAGAATGTCAGAATGTCAGAATTTAGTAGTGCTGCCAAAACACTTTGGTTTTTTTTTTTTAATGAGATCCATCACGCAAAGCATTATACAGCTTGGCATTCCAAATAGATGACTTTTTTACCAAAAGATCACTTTAACAGTTTCACAGTGAGACTCCATCATGTAATACTTGAAGTGCAGAGACAAGCTTCTGGTATAAGTGTGGAGAGGTTTTTTTGGATGTATGGGAAGAGAGGCAGGTTGAGGCTAAAATTCCCTAATTACTTTACTCTTCTAAATGTTACTTATTAAAACATATTTACCATATTTGTTAGAACCCAGATGGCCTATTGATTTTTGTTTGTTTTGTTTAATGCCACTTTTTCATTCATTGTTGGATTTGCAAACAAGGAAAACTTCTAGTGCTTTTTCATAAGAAATTATCTTTTTCTACTGACAGCTAAGAGATCCTTCTCTTTTTGGTAGTGGTGAGCGTAGAGTGATTAAGATTGATGAAGTTGGTACTTTAGCTTATCAGTGATGTGTGTATTTTAAAGTCCAGGGATATGCAGTATTTGTTTAATTATGATGTCACTTTCTATCTTAACTTCATCTTAATTCTTTGTCCTAAGCAGCTCTCAAGTTTATTAAGATTTTTCTATTCTGTAATAGAAAGTATTAAGGTAGGAATGCAGTGCTTTGATGTCACACAAGAATAAAGCACAGACATCAGAGTGTTTTTTAACCTGTAACAAAGTATATATATGTAACAGATAATTTTTAAATTTTAGGAATAGTAATAAGGAATTCTTTCCATTCTGGCTGTAGGCTTTGTTTCATTGTCTAATATCCCTAAGAAGCTATATTCCTGTGACCTTTAGCTGTAGCCTCAACGTGGTAATGGTGATGGTGGTGGTGGTGGGCTTACCTTAAAGAAACAGAAATACTGTGATTTTCAGCCTTTACTTACCTGTGATGCATATAACATGAAGAATTCCTAGGAAGAATGAAAACACAGAAAAATACTTAAAAATTCATGAAGTGTGAGACTTTACTCCTTGAGTATCTTTAACTTGAACAGTGACATTCCAGATTGTTCTTATTTTCAGAGTACATCCAAGCCATTATGATGATGGAGGAATCTGTTCAACATGTTGTCATGACAGCCATTCAAGAGGTATGTCGGAGCTTTATGCTTACTGTTTGTGAGAAATTAAAGGAGCAAACTGGAATAGTAGATGTGGAAATTTTAAAAAGAGATTCTCCTCATTTTTTGAGAATTTTTTTCTTTGCACTTATGATATACTGTGCCTCATTTTTATTTAAAAAAATCATACATTTGAATTTCTCATTTGTATTTAAATCTTACACATTTGTCTTGTAGGTATATGTATTCAATAACTACTGAATATTACAATATTCAGTATTACAGTATTACAGTACTACTACTATTAAAAATTTTTAATTTTTAAAAATGCCCCAGTGAACTACAAATAGTAGACCCATTTCTAAAGCCATTGTAAATACGTATCTTAAACCAGCAGTCTACCTCACGCTTAATTATTGGTTTCTCGTTTGGCAGAGGTGGGTCTTCAACTCCAACCATACCCAAAGCTACTTCTAGATGAATATTTATACTGAAACTGTAGGGGAGGAAAAATACCTTTTTCTTCTACCCATCCAAGTTCTCAGCTGAGACCTCTGTATCAAAGGACAGATGAATAAGGATACACATGTATTTTAGTTTTTTACATGACATAGAGACCTTCTTAAGGAAATGAAGATGAAAAAAGTGTTTTTTATTTATTTTTTTCAAAGAAGTGTTTAAACTTGAGAGTTTTAGGGCTGAGTTTGATGAAGAATGGAGAATCATGGAAAAATGTGATAGGGCACACAAGCGTTTGAGCTAAGGATAGTAACCTGGAGGAAACAGCAATTCCTATTGATTCAAGATTCTTTCAGAATCCCTCTATCTTTGGAGATAAGCATGCTTCTTTCCTTTGCTTTGAGTATAGGGAAGACATCTCTTACATGAGGATTTTATGACCTGCTTCAGGAGAAGGTAGAAAATCTATCCTGTATCTGCTTTTTCTCAAACTCCTTCAGCTTGAAGTGTTCAGTATGCCAAGGTGCCATACTTTGGGGTAGTGTGTCGTGAGCTCCATCAAAAGTGAGACATAAAACTATAAAAGTAAAAATAAAATGTAATAACCAGTTGATTTCCGGATGTGAGAATGTTTTTAATCATGAAGGCAATGGAACAAACTGTTAGGGGTACTAGAGAACAGTATAGGACTTGAACATGCACCTGACAGAGAAAAAAAAACAACAGACAGCATGAAAAATGCTAAATGTCAGTTAAGTTGTATTTTTTAAGAAATCTGACCATCTGACTATAAATCCAGGAGTTCCCACCACCGCCCCCCAGGGTTCTGACTCATAGAACTCAGGAATGATGACAGTATTATTATAGCAAGTGAATACAAACCAGAACCAAATCCCCCCCACCCCAAAAATGCATATAGTGAGGTCTAGGAAGTCCCAAATGCAGTTTCTGTTGTTCCCTCTCTGTGGAATCAAGACCTATCACACTCCCAGCACATTACTGTGTGACAGTTCCAAAGTACTGCCAACTGTTAGGGCTCACCTCAGTTTTCATGTTTCCAAGTTTTTATTGGGGTTTCATTATGTAGGTGTGATTGATTGTATCAGTGACCATGGGGTTGAAGGCAGTTTCCAGCGCTCCTCCCCCCAAAGTCAGACTGATTATGAAGTGGCTCAAAGACACAGTCCTCTGATACATGACTGGTTTTTCTGGCATGGCCAGCCCCCAATTTGATCATCCAATTTTTTAGTTTTAAGTACCTAGGACCCACAAATAAAAAAGTTACTCTTATCAGGAAGGAAATACCAGAGATTGAGGGGCTGCTTGCCAGTAATAGGACAAAGGCCAGCCAAATTCCTTACTACAGGACCTTTCAAAAAAGCAAAGCTTTTGTTTTATTCATTTATTTTTTTAAAGATTTTATTTATTTATTTGACAGAGAGAGACACAGCGAGAGAGGGAACACAAGCAGGGGGAGTAGGAGAGGGAGAAACAGGCTTCCCACGGAGCAGGGAACCCGATGTGGGGCTCTATCCCAGGACCCTGGGATTGTGACCTGAGCCAAAGGTGGATGCTTAATGACTAAGCCACCCAGGCACCCCCAAAAAGCAAAGCTTTTAAAAGACGATCAGTTTAGCAGTCAGCTCTGATGATAGGAAGATTAAACTGGTACATCTTTTTAAAAATATTATACTCTTGTATTATATGAGATATTAGGTCATGAGTGTTAAAATATCAAAACGATGGTCTCTCAAGCAAGATAGAAGTTATTTTGCTCCTAAGTCCTCTTGGATTTTGCTCTGTAGTCATCAGGGACACAGCTTTCTTATTTCCTTAAGACAGGTTTCCAACTTAGTGGTTCAGCTGTGGCTTCTCAGGTGCCAGCTATCACATTCCATTTCCAGCCATCAGGAAGGACTGAAGGAAGAGTTATCCACTTCCTCTAAATAAACTCAGCAGTTCTCCCCCGTGTTAACCAGATATTATTCATGGAGCCACACAGTCCCAAAACCAGCCAAAATATGAGGAGCCTGTTACTCCAAAAATAAGAAAAAGAATAAGGGGCCACTAACAGTTCTGCCTTACTGTAATTGATCCTATAATTCTGTTTTTAGGAATTTATCCTAAGGAGATCTGAAATACAGAGATACAATAATAGCAGACATTATGTCAAACCTACTATGTGCTAGATAGTGCTAGTACTTAATAAATACATTGTGTCTCTTAACTCATTTAAAATTCACAATTATAATTAATGCTACTGAAATGTAGACTTAAAATTATTAAATTGGCAAATTTTGTGTTCTATATATTTTATCAAAAATTTTTTATTTTATTTATATTTATTTTGTAGACTTAAATTTATTAATTTAGACTTAAAATTATTAAATTGGCAAATTTTATGTTCTATATATTTTATCAAAAATTTTTTATTTTATTATTTTATTTATATTACTTATTTTTTTTAACATTTTATTTATTTATATGACAGAGATCACAAGTAGGCAGAGAGGCAGGCAGAGAGAGAGGGGGAAGCAGGCTCCCCACTGAGCAGAGAGTCCAATGTGGGGCTCAATCCCAGGACCCTGGGATCATGACTTGAGCCGAAGGCAGAGGCTTTAACCAACTGAGCCACTCAGGCGCCCTAATTTTATCAAAAATTTTTTTTAATGAAAAATTAATTTAATATTTTGAGGTATACACTGTTATTGTCCCCAGTTTATTAAAGGGGAAACTGAAGCATAGACAGTGTGAGTAACCTCAAGTTCACACAAGAAGTAGCAGCAGAGTTAGAACTCAGATCTAAGCAGTCTGAGTTCAGAGCCCACGCCCAGAGCCATTATGCTGTATTGCCTCAAGATTTATTTCACATTATTTTCTAGTACGGAAACAGAAATAGCCTAACCACCTAAATTACAGTAGAATAATATATTGACATATTAGGTAGCGTTAAAGTGAATTTCTGAAAAATACGTAAAAATATGGGTAAGGCTTATTAGGGAAACAGGGCACATGACCAATAAAATCCCATTTCTGTTTAAAATAGAAATTAAGTTGAGTGAAAAATGACAAAATGTTAACCATCTCCAAATGGTTGGATATTCTGTGCTCTTTTCTGTATTTGCCAATTTTTCTATAATTATAGGTTTGTAATTATAATCAGGAATATTTTTAAAATTAAAATACGTCGGGGCATCTGGGTGGCTCAAAGGGTTGAGCCTCTGCCTTTGGCTCAGGTCATGATCTCAGGGTCCTGGGATCGAACCCCACATCTGGCTCTCTGCTCGCCACGGAGCCTGCTTCCCCCTCTCTCTCTGCCTGCCTCTCTGCCTACTTGTGATCTCTCTCTGTCAAATAAATTTTAAAAATCTTAAAAAAAGGGGGGGTATAAAATTGCTAAAAATAAAAAAATAAAATGTCACCAAATGACTTTTAATTCTATGAATCTAGCCCAAGGAATTATTTAGAAATTCAGACCAAAATTGGACACAGCAGTGTTTATCAAACTATCTTACATAATTTTTTAAAGTTTATCTAAGTTAATCTCTACTAGACCCAGTGTGGGGCTTGAACTCACAACCCCAAGATCAAGAATCACATGCTCTTCCAAATGAGCCACCTAAGCACCTCCAAACTATTTTATTTTAATAGAAATATGACAACAGTGTGCACCCATTGGGAAGCAAGTGTTTAAACTAGGCTACCTCGATTTCATGGAGGTATAGTTGATAGTAATTTGTTTAAAAAAAATTTTTTTAAGATTTTATTTATTTGAGACGGAGTCAGGGCAGGGAGGGGCAGAAGGAGAGGAAGAAGCAGACTCCTTGATGAGCTGAGAGACCAGTGTGGGGCTAGATCCCAGGACCCTGAGATCATGACTTGAGCCAAAGGCAGACACTTAACCAACTGAGCCACCCAAGCACCCCTAAAACTTTTTTTTCTTATGGGGCACCTGGTTGGCACAGTCAGTTGAACATCTGACTCTTGGTTTTGTCTCAGGTCATGTTCTCAGTGTCCTCAGACTTGACATGACCTGAGAGAAAACCAAGGTCTGCTCCCATGGAGGCTCTGTGCTCAGTATCGAGTCTGCTTAAGACTCTCTCCCCTCCCTTTGTACCACCCCCCCCCCCCTGTGACAAAAAGAAAGCACTTAAAATGTCAAGTGAGGGGCACCTGGGTGGCTTAATTGGTTAAGTGCCTGCCTTGAGCTCAGGTCATAATCTCGGGGTCCCGGGATCAAGCCCTATGTCAGGCTCCCTGGTTGGTGGGGAACCTCGTTCTCCCTCTCTGTCTGCTGCTCCCCCTGCTTGTGCATGCTCTCTCTATCAAATAAATAAAATCTTTAAAAATCAAATAAATAAATAAAATCTTTAAAAAGAGTTGGAAAATGTCAAGTGAATGAAGCAATATAGTTAGATGTCAACAGTAGATTGTATGTCTTTTATGTGCATGTTCCTTCTATTCATTTAGCACATACCATGAAGCACCTACTATGCACCAGGAGCTATAGTAGGCATTCAGGATAAAATTATGAAAAAGGCAGACATAGTCTCTTGCCCCCACAAAATCTAAATTTCATGGGAGAAATGGCTAATCATGCAATTCACATACATTCAAAGCATTCAAAATGAAAAGTACCATGATGGGGAAAATATTAGGAGTACCTCAAAGGCGTAGCTAACGCAGTTTGGGGACTTAAGCAAAGGCTTCTCAGAGAAGGTGGCTTTTTTTTTTTTTTTTTTTAAGATTTTATTTATTTTTTTGATAGAGATCACAAGTGGGCAGAGGGGCAGGCGGGGGCGGCGGGGGGCGGGGAGACAGGCTCCCTGCTGAGAAGAGAGCCCTGATGTGGGGCTCCATCCCAGGACCCTGGGATCATGACCTGAGCTGAAGGCAGAGGCCTTAACCCACTGAGCCACCCAGGCACCCCAAGAAGGTGGCAACTTGACTGAGCATGGAAGGATGAGATGAGGTAAGGAAAGGGCAAAAATTGTTGTAAAGTCCGGGAGGCAAGAGAAAGCAAGACTTATCTGGAATGTTGGTTACCCATAGCGACCATGGTGAGGTATAGCGAGTGCTTAGAAATGAAATAAGAGACCTAAAGTCATTAGAATATTGAGCAGTTTCATTTGGGAATTGGGATTTTGGAAATCAGTGAATAGATTTTAAGGAGAAAATACATTAAAGTCTTTATTTAAGAAAATGTATATGATGAGAAGAATGGTTTGGAGAAAACCGGGCTAGAAGAAGGGAGAGCACTTAAGAGACCTTAGTAATTAATATTTAATTACCAAGAATGAATGATGGAAGCCCGAACAAGTTTATGGCAGTCAGGGTGGAGACAGGTGCACAGATTTGGAAAATTAAAGGAGCTTGAATCCATTGGATTGGTAACTGATGGGACCAAGGGGAAGAAGGAGGGGTGGGGGGCGGGGAGGGAGTAGCTGGATAGAATAATGGAAATAAAAAGGGCTTCTTTAAAATGGTAGTCTTTTTTTTTTTTTAAGGGTATATTCTATTTATATTTCTTTATTCAGGTACTACGACATTTATTTATTTACTGTGATAAAATATGCATAACAAATATTTGCCATTAGTGACATTTAGTGTGTTCATAGTGTTGTGCAAACATGGTTGACTATTTTGTTCCACCTTTTTCCATCACCACAAAAGAAAACCCTTTTCATCCACTACATAGGCTGTTCTCATTTCCTCCTTTCTCTAGCCTATGTCAACCGGAAGTCTGCTTTCTGTCTCTATGAATTTCCATATTCTGGATATTTCGTATAAATGGAATCATATGATATGTGGCCTTTTGTGTCTGTCTTTGTTCATTTAGCATGATACTTTCAAGGTTATTTTGTAGCACGTATTAATACTTGCTCCTTTTTATGGCTGAAAAATCCATTGTATGGATGTGCAGCATTTTGTTTATTCTTAAGTTGAGGGACATTTGGGGTTGTTCCTACCTTTTGGCTATTGTGAATAATGCTGTGAATATTAATATAAGGGTTTTGGTGTTTTTTTTAACATCCACTATTAATTCTTCTGGGCATATTGAAATTGAGTTTCTTGGTCATGTGGTAATTATGTGTGTAACTTTTTTGAGAAAGCACCAACTTGTTTTCCACACATCCTGAAGCATTTTACATTCCTACCAGCAGTGTACTAGGATTCTGTTTTTTCCACCTCTTTGCCAACCTTGTGAATGTCCTTTTTTTTTTTTTTTTTTTTTTAAGATCTGTTCATTTATTTTAGAGCGTGCACAAGCAGGAGGGGCAGAGGGTGGGGGAGAGAGAGAAACTCAAGCAGATTCTGTCCTGAGTGTGGAGCCTGACCTGGGGCTCAATCCCAGGACCCTGACATCACAGCCTGAGCTGAGGAACCAAGAGTCGGACACTGAACTGACTATGCCATCTAGGCACCTCTGCCCATCCTTTTTGTAATAGCCATCCTACTAAAGAAGCTGAGAAGAGATTGGGTCAGGGAGCACACGTGGGATTAGCTTTCAAGGGAAAAGTAGCACTTGTCTTAAAATTGAAAAAGGAAAGTATGGGCATGAATGTTGCCAATTTTGTAAATTAAGACATGGGAAATTCTTATTCGGAGACGAGGTTTTCTGATGAAGAGTGCAGAGATTGGAGAAATAAGAAAGGTTTAGAATAATCTATGGTGGAAGCATAATTGTACTTTTGGAGCAACTTTAAAGGCCCAGTTGAAATTAGAAACTATGTATTAATAGTGTTTTCTGATTTAAATTTTTGTTTGTTTTTTTACTCTCTCAGTACTTAATAGTCTGGTGTATGGCCAGAAGAGATAGGTAGAATAATAATATACTGAGATTTTGCCAGGAAGAAAGAATTGAAGATAAGAAAATTGAGATATTGACAAAGGTCATCACCATAATAGACTTAAAAATCTGAACTAGAAAGTAGAAGGTAATTGTTTAAACAAATGGTGAACCATGGAACCCAAAGCAGGGGAGGGAAGTTCCCAAAAATAAGATGATATTGTTAACAGAAGAAGGAGGAGTAAATGTGAGCAGGCAAAAACAATAATGTTTAGTATAAAGTCTCAGCAGAGTAAGGAAGAAAGTGAATATCAGAATGATGGAGTCTCACTAGAAGCCCAGGAGAAAGGAGGGAGGTATAGGGCTTGGAAACCTCAAATTTAGGAGCACATAAATTAAACGTAATTGAATGAGAGACTAGGATTGAGAAAAGGTTGTATTCAGAGTGTAGGACACTTAGGTTCTTATTCGGAGTTGTTGCTGTATTATGATGAGGACTTAACTATAACAGTGGGAAAAGGAAAAAGACGAAGAAACACTTCTGGTCCTTCTACTACCTGTCTCTGATTAGATAGGGCCTCTCTGAGCCTGGCGCAGCCCGTTACCACATTCTAATAACGCTTGTCTTACCCACTTGACCTATGTGTGCTACATCCTTGGATGATAGCTTCTTAAATATTTCAGAATTATAAAGGTGATTGTTCTGGATGGTAGAATAATGGTTTTCCTTTTTATATTTTTATGAATTGTATATTCTTTACAATGGGACTATTTTTTGTTGGAAGAAGTCTCAAAAATCTTATGATTAATACTGTCATGAGGAAAGCATAAACATTGAAGCCAGTGTTTTTTACTCTTCCTGAGATTTTTTTTTTTTTTTCCCTAATTATGCTGAGGGACTTTGAACTCTTCTCATCGCATTAGTATAGAGCAGTGATTCTCAAACTTCAGTATGTATTAGAGTCACCCAGAGGACTTTATTAAATATGTTGCTGAGCCCTAGCAGCCCCCCTCCCCTCCCCAGTTTCTGAGTCAGTAGACCTGGGCTGGGACCCAGTAATTTGCATTTCTGAAGAGTTTCTAGGCAACACTGATGGTTTGAGAACTTCACTTTGAGAACCACTGATAAGGAGAAAAAAAAGTACAGCTGAACATAACAATTTTCTGATCTCTCAAAGAGTGTTACTGAAGGCTGATATTACAAGATCTCTCTCAACAGTGCATCCCCACATTTCTAATTGTCCCCCTTTCTTTTGTCCCTGAACATAAGAAGGAAAGAGTAGAAAATTGGGACCATTTGAGTCTGCCCCTGACATTTGTCACAATCAGAAATTTATCCCGTTTACCCCCAAACCCTCACATGTTATATGGCTCCTCTCTCTGCAACAGCAGGGTGAGAGAGGCTAAGAAATAGAGAGAGGGTGTGTGTGTGTGTGTGTGTGTGTGTGAGAGAGAGAGATAAACATCAGCCAGTTCATTTTGGCTAATACTGATATTGCCCATATTTATTTTTTAGATAGAGTTACATCAGTGTTGCTGTTTTTTTACTGAGAAGTCAGTTTTTAAATACTTAGCCACTTTTTTAACCTAAAGATTTGTCTTGATTCTTATGACTGCCCTTACAGTGAAAATGAGCACCAGAATTTAGACCTGTAATTTTAAATGGAGGCATTATCCTGGGATAAAAAAGATTTTAGACTGAAAATGTATAGGAAAATGTTCCTCTTACATTTGTGTCTTCATTTTAATTTTTATAATTCTGTGGTGGCCGGGTGTTCATGTTGTTGTCTAAGTGTATTTTATATGATGTCATTTTTGCCTCATAGTTACAATCATTTAAATCTTAATTTCAGCTGATGAGTAAGGAATCACCTGTCTCTGCTGGAAACGATGCCTATGTTGACCTTGATCGCCAGGTATCTAATTTTGCAGTTTTATCCATGTAGCGATTGAAAAGAATAAACTTTAGATACTAATGAAAAGAATGTTTCAGTTGAATTTGCTTATAGAGTATGTTGGTTTAATTATTTGTTTTTTCCTTAAGTTCAAGACTTAAGCTATTTTACTAGTGGATATTATGCATTTGTAATTAAATTTATAATTTATAATTAAAATATTATATGATCCACTTTAAAATAAATTTAAGTCATTGTAATTCATGTTTTCTAGTCGTGATTTTTTTTCTTCCCATTGGTGATATCTTTCTGTATGCCACATTTAGCACAATAGATGCATTCTTGGCAAGTGGCATGCGTTTTACTCTTATGATTTACTTATAATACACAATACCTTTTATTTCACATGAGTCTTCCATGGCAGATGTCTCCTGCACCCTTCATCTTTGTGAGGGAATAGTCAGTAGATATTTAAATGTACCAAGGAACCTACTATATTCTTAAAGGAACTCTGTCTGCAGTACATTCTTGCAATTTTAGCCAAAAACTTATTTTGTAATTTTAATTACTGCTTTGCAATAAAATACTACAACTTACATTGTCAGTATCTATATTCCATCTGTCCTGGGACATCTTTTCCAAAGTGTAAACAGAAATCTTTGTGTTATCCTCTCTCATTTTTCGCATTGGTTTCTAAATGTTTTGTAGGAAAATCTTTGGTCATGGTATAATTTTTTTTTTTTTTTAAGATTTTACTTATTTATTTGACAGAGAGAGATCACAAGCAGGCAGAGAGGCAGGCAGAGAGAGGAGGAAGCAGGCTCCCTGCTGAGCAGAGAGCCCGATACAGGGCTCGATCCCAGGACTCTGAGATCATGACCTGAGCCGAAGGCAGCGGCTTAACCCACTGAGCCACCCAGGCACCCCTAATTTTTTTTTTTTTTTTAAAGATTTTACTTATTTATTTGAAGATCACAAGTAGGCAGAGAAGCAGGCAGAGAGAGAGAGGGAAGCAGTCTCCCTGCTGAGCAGAGGGCCCGATATGGGGCTCGATCCCAGGACCCTGGGACCATGACCTGAGCCGAAGGCAGAGGCTTTATCCCACTGAGCCACCCAGGCGCCCCTGGTCATGATACAATTTTAACTCGAGTTATAATTTGCTTCCCTTACTTTGTGATGTTAGATTTTAAAGTTGCTGCCTTTTATGGATTTTTTTTTTTAATCTATGTTACACAGGTGAGGTCACATGAATGGAAAAGCTAGTATAATTTTTAATCAATTTTTTTTAATTAATCAATTTTAATTAATTTGTTCTTGCTTTGCTAACCTAGGGTTTATGGGACACAACTCAGAAATGTTTGGTTTGTGTTGAGAATCAGAATAATAAAAATATTTTTTAAAACTGTGTTACACAAAATAACATAAACATGTAATATGCTTGAAGATTTTGTGTTGAAATACTTCTGGCTATATATTTCAACAATTGAAACCCCCATCCTCTAGCACATACATATTTTATCAAGGGAAAATTTTTCAGTTATTACAGAATTAACATTACCAAGAATCATGTAGCCCAGACAGGAAGAAAACTTGTGTAAGAAAACTTGATAAGAGGAAAGAACCAGATTCAGTACAGAAAAGACAAGACTTAACAACTAGAAGATACTCAAAGTTAGAAATGGCTGGTTTTGACTCTTCACAAGAGTTCTCAATTTCTCCCAGCCCCTCAGAAAGAAATGAGAAGAAAGTGTTCTAATTCTTTATTGTGCTTATGTAATTATTAATTGTTTCTATTCATATTGAAATGTTTATTGCATCTCTTTGTTTCTAACTAGTTGAAGAAAACTACAGAGGAACTAAATGAAGCTTTGTCAGCAAAAGAAGAAATTGCTCAAAGGTGCCATGAGTTGGATATGCAGGTAAGAGATGTTTTCTGTGTGCTACCTGTTTGAAATGCACCACTGTAAGCAACACCAAACGTGCTGTGTATTACCATACAGTATTGTTGGATTATCATGCAACCCTAATTAAGGAAAAAAAGGGGGAAAAACAGATTTGTGGTTAAAGATAGTAGAGTCATCAAATATATTAATTTTCTTTACTTCCGGCAGCCGCATTAAATTTAGAATAAATGAACGAATGGTATAACACAAGAAAAGAAAGGGGGGCTATCTGTGCTAGCTTTAGGGAGGGGTGGGGGAGTTTTTTTTTTTAAAGTGCTCATTTGTAGTGTTTGCCAGTATCCATAGTAGATACTCATAATACACAGAAAGGCCAACTTTTTGTAGATAAGCCCTAATGTGAAGTTCATGAATGCACAGCTTACAGTTACCCTTGCTTTGACTACTTCATTAAGGAAAGTCTGCATTACAAAAGAGAAAAGGAGGAAGATAAACAGGAAGATAGTCCTAGAGGAAGTGGAGAAATTTGGGATAGTAGCAGAGATTAATCTTTTTAATCTATTTAATACTCTTAGTGAAATTAGTAAAGATATTCCATCTGGGACATGATGCTAAAATCAGAAATCAAACACTTAAGTAAATTAAAAATAGAATTGTTAAAGTGAAAAACTTAACAGGATAGTTAAAGTGTATAGGAAATCTCTCACAATTAAAAAGAGTAAAAAATTATTTAGGATTTACCTCAAAATTAGATCAGGGCATGGACAGAAAGGTACAAATACATAATTGGCCATGTTTTGATACTTGTTAAATCTGGGTCATGACTACACAGAGTTCATAATATTTTATAATAGAAGAATTTTACGTTGAAAGGCAGAGGTGTTGGTCATCGCTTTGGATGCACATAGGAGGAAGTATAATCAGAGCACACTTGCTGGGTCATACAGTAAATGATATTTATCTAGTCACAGTGTAAGTGCCATTAATTGCTTTTCCAAAATTTTAAAACTTAACTCTACACAAATGCTAAGATTAATAATAATAAATAAGAGATGATGGTTTTTATGACTAGAATATAAACATTATCTTTGATAAACTTTGGCAAACTATAGCCCTATGATACACTTAGCTCTGCAGAAAACAGTAGTGACCCACTTGATAATGTGATCTCTAAAGTAATAATACAAACCAATTTCAACATTTAGAATTGTCCTGTAGAGAAATGTTATTGCCAGAGTAAAAGTACAAGTGACAGCAGTAGATGAGGACAGGAGACATGAAGGAAAGATAGGGTCACTAATGTTCTTGCCAAAAGGGAGTCAGGAACCACTTCTGTTGGCACAACACCCATTACATGGCTGGTTCTTTCTAGACATCCAGTCTCAGCTCAAAATTACCTGACTTATTTATCATAAAGTACTTACTGGACACTGAGATGTGCCCAGGATGAAGTTAGGCCTCCTGGGAAGGCCTTCCGTGATCATGTAGTCCCTGCCCCATATAGTAGGCACACAGTGAACATGTGAGTGAGTGAATGAATGGGTAGGGGATTGAGTGAAAAGAGTAAGTACTTGTTTAAGATTGCAGAGATGAGGGGCACCCGGGTGACTCAGTGGGTTAAGCTTCTGCCTTCAGCTTAGGTCGTGATCTCGGGGTCCTGGAATCGAGTCCTGCATCAGGCTCTCTGTTAGGGAGGGAGCCTGCTTCCTCCTCTCTCTCTCTCTCTCTCTCTCTCTCTCTCTCTCTCTGCCTACTTGTGATCTCTCTCTGTCAAATAAATAAAATCTAAAAAAAAAAAAAAAGGGGGATTGCAGAGATGACCAGACAGGGAAACAAGAATAGTGATATAATTGTATTTGTGGAAAGGAAGGATGACACAAGTAGCTATAGTTTAACCTGTCAAAGGAGTCACTAGATAATGTCTAAGATTGGTAAATCAAGAAATGGTGGTGTAAAACATTTAGAGATATAAAATAACAGCCAAAAACAGTAAAGTTTGGAATAGTTAAAATTAGTTGTCTCTTGGAAGTAGAAAAACTCAACAGAAAACTAACTTTATTATAAGCCCCTTTTTCTTGTCTGATGTCTTTTTTCTTAAATCGTGTTTGTGTATTATTTTTCAGTACAACCATATCTCAGAGTTATCGTGGGTTTGGATTGCTGAAGGGAATGTTGTGTCTGGTTTGATCTCTGTCCAGACCACTAAAACTTTCTCTGTGTCAGCAATAAGGCTGTCTGTCTGTCTTACCATTTGCACGTTCACTGGAATAGCTTTAAACATTTCATTTCCTTCAAGAACTTTTCCTTTGCATTCATAATTTGGCTAAACTGATACAAAAAGCCTGTCTCAGCTTTCAGCTGTCTTAGCTTTCAGCCCATCTCAGCTTTCAACATGCCTTCCTCACTAAGCTTAATCATTTCTGGCTTTTGATTTAAAATGAGAGATGTATGACTTTTTACTTGAATACTTAACAGTGCATTGTTGCCTAATTTCAATATCATTGTGTCTCAGGTTATAGGGAGGCCTGAGGAGAGAGGCCAGTGGGAAAAGGAACAGCTGGTTGGTGAAGCAGTGAGAACATACTCAAAAGTTATCAGTTAAATTCACCATCTTATATGGGGATGTTTTGTGGCACCCCAAGGCAGTTACAATAGTAGTATCAAAGATCACAGATCACCATTCAATCATAAGGGAAAAGTTTAAAATATTGCAAGAATTATCAAAATGTGGGGCGCCTAGGTGGCTCAGTGGGTTAAGGCCTCTGCCTTCAGCTCGGGTCATGATCTCAGAGTCCTGGGATTGAGCCCCACATCAGGCTCTCTGCTCAGCGGGGAGCCTGTTTCCTCCTCTCTCTCTGCCTGCCTCTCTGCCTGCTTGTGATCTCTGTCTGCCAAATAAATAAATAAATAAATAAATCTTAAAAAAAAGAATTATCAAAATGTAACAGAGACAGGAAGTGAGCAAATGCTATTAGGAAAATGGTGCCTGTAGACTTGGTTGCCACGAACCTTCAGTTCGTAAAAATTGCAATACTGAGATGTGAAATAAAATGAGGTATGCCTGTGGTCTCCTTTTTCTGTGTGTGTGAAAAAGACTTCTGCCAATTATATAGGCATACCTCTTTTTTTAAAAAAGGATTAAAGATCAGAAATGAATGAAATGGGCCCGTGGCACAGGATAGAGCCACTGCTGTCTTCTGAGAAAAGACCCATGCATTTATGGAAATCTGACAGATTATGGAGCTGGCATTTTAGCTTCATTTATTCAACAAACATTACCAAGTACCCACAGAACAGAGTGTGTGAAGTGGAAATCAGTCTGGAGAGGCCTTATAAGCCTTTGTAATGATTTTAACTTTGAGTAAATAGGAATCCAGTAGAACATTTGAGCAAAGTAGTCATGTGGTCTGCATTTTGTTTTGATGGACTATGGGGCTGCTGTATGGAGAACAGACTAAAAGGAGACAAGGGCCAAATTTAGACTAATTAAGAAGTCATTGCAGTTATTGCATCCAGGCAAAAAAAATTATGTTGGATTAGATCGGAATTTTGCCTGGTAAGTGGTAAAAATGTGTGTGAAAAGTGATATTTGCTGACAGATTGGATGTGGGTATGAGATTAAAGATGTTAAGGCTTATGACTGAGCAACTAGAAGGATAGAGTTAACTTTTCACCAAAACGGGAAAGACTGGAAGAACTGGGGAGTGAGGAGTAATTAATTGGACAATTTAAGTTTGAGATGCCTTTTAGACATGCACATGGAAATGATACCCAGTTTAGGGTTCCAGTTGAGAAATAGAAATGTGTGAGTTGTCACTGAACAGATGATGTTTATAGCCATGAAACTGGAAGCCATCACTGCATGTAGAGAAGAAAGCTGTAGGACACTCTAATGGCAGAGAAATTGAGAGGAATTGACTAAGGAGAAAGAGAAGCCTGGTAGGTTGGGTCCAGAAAGCCCAAGAGTATGGTGTCCTGTCAGCCAAGTGAAGAAACTGTTTCAGGGAGGAGAATGTTATGGGTTGTGGCATATGTTGATTGTTCGCGGTGACATGGAAGTGTCCATAGTGATCCTGATGAGCAGTTCTGTGGAATGGTAGGGCTAGTAGCCCAATCAGAACGAGTTCAGGGGAAAGTGGGGGGTGGCAAGTAAGAATTAGAAATGGCAGGTGGCTTTTGTTTTTACAGCTTTATTGAGCTGTAATTAACACATAAACTGTTCATATTTAAAATGTACAATTTTCATGCATGTTGATTTATATATGAATGTGTAAAAACGTTACCACAATTAATATAATGAGCCCATCACGCTCAAAAGTTTCCTCATGACTTTGTATTCCCCCTCCAGTCCCCAGCTCTGCCTTGTCACTATAGATTAGTTCATATCTTCTAGAATTGCATATAAAAAGAATCATACATTATTTATACTTATTTTTCATCTGAGTTCATTATTTTTGACAGTATCAATAGTTAATTCTTTTTTTTAATTGCCAAATAGTGTTCTATTATATGAATATATTAGAATTTTTCCATTCACCTGTTGATGAACATTTGTGCTGTTTCTCGTTTTTCTCTATCACAAGCAAAAATGCTATTAACATTCTTTATAAGTCCTTGTGTGGGCCCCGTGCTTTTATTTCTCTTGAGTTTGTAAATACTGACTGGGTCATGTGGTAGTTGCACTTTTTTTTTTTTTTTTTTTTTTTTTGGTAATGCAAAGCTGTTTTCCAAAGTGCTTGAAACATTTTACATTCTCACCAGAGATGTATGAGACTTCCATTTGTTCTCCATCTTCAGAGGCACCTGGGTGGCTCAGTCCATTAAGCATCTGACTCTTGATCCCAGCTCAGGGCATGATCTCAGGGTCATGAGTTCAAGCCCTATGTTGGGCTCCATGTGGAGCCTACTTCAGAAAAGTTCTACATCTTTCCCAAAACTTGGTATAGCAATATTTTTTGTTTGAGCCATTCCAGTAGGAGTGTATGAGTATAACATTGTGGTTTTAATTTGCAGTTCCTTAATGATTAATCATGAGTATCCTTTTGTGTGCTTAGTTGCCATTTACATATCTTATTTGGTGAACTATCTTTTCAGATATAAAGAATGAATTCTTGCTTACTCTTACAATATTGCTCTGCCTGTGCAATATTCCAAAGTAATGTTACAGTTGTAAGGGAAAGTTGATTAAAACAGGCTTTCTAATGGTAATTCACAAGTGATTGCTGATCCCAGTGTAATTAGAAGAAATAATTGCTGTCTTTCTATATGCTAACAGGTTGCAGCATTGCAAGAGGAGAAAAGTAGTCTCTTGGCAGAGAATCAGGTATTAATGGAAAGACTTAATCAATCTGATTCTATAGAAGATCCTAACAGTCCTGCAGGAAGAAGGCATCTGCAGCTCCAAACTCAGCTGGAACAACTCCAAGAAGAAACATTCAGGTAAAAGACCTTACTAAAGTCTAATTTTTAAGATTTGGTTAACTATCTTTTAATGTTAAAAATGTAGTGTTAGGGCTTTTGGATAGCTGCAGACCAAGGAGGAGGATGTGAAATAAACAACTTCCCCCAAATCTTACCACATGACACACAGTAACTTCACATCTAGGAAAAATTCTATCAAAGCTACACCCTTGGCAGCACCAGGGTGGCACAGTCGGTTTAGTGTCCAGTTCTTGGTTTCAGCTCAAGTCACGATCTCAGGGTCGTGAGATCGAGCCCCATGTTAGGCGCTGCACTGGGCATAGAGCCTGCTTGGGATTCCTTCTCTCCCTTTCCCTCTGCCCCCACTCCCCGCCTCAAATAAATAAATAAATCTTTTTAAAAAACAAAAACAAAAAAAACTACATGCTCATTATTACCTGAAGACAGAATGCCTCAACTGAAATAAAACTGTGAAGAAAACACACATGAGCCACACATCCCACACACTGTCCCCCCCAGTCCTACTCGGTGCTTTGAGGCAAGTAAAGGCAGACTGACAAAAAAATTAGAGGAAGACAGAAAAACACTAGTGAAGGGGCCTGAGGGTGAGTTGGAGAGACTAAAAGATTAAATTCACCGAACTACTTCTAAAATAAAAGAAGATTGGATTACAAACTGGGGAAATACCATAATTAAGCACATCATCTTAAAGGACCAGACTCCATAAAAACATAGAGGCACTGAATTTAAAGAGATTGGTGCCCTTTGCAGACACTTGGTTTAAAGAGACACAGTATAAATGCCAGGTGCCTGATTTATAGAGTCAGACTTATTTAAAAGGCAACCTGATTTAAAGGGACAGTCTTCTAAACACATCTTGGAGAGGAAAAGGGCAAAAGGAAGGAAAAATGACTGTTAGGCAGTTGGATGGTGAAAGGGAAAAGAAGAAAAGGAAAAATTTAGTGTCCTGCCAGACAAAACAGAACCACAAAATTGAAGGACTTAGCAGTAAGAAATAGAATATTTTGTATTCACAGGAAAGAATAAAATGATTCTTAAGTCTTCTCTAAAACTTCAGAAATAGTCCACCCCCTATGATCTACATCAGCAGTTCAAGATTTGGTCTAAGGACCTCTTCGGTTCCCTGAGACCCTTTCAGAGAGTCTTCCAGACCCCTCTTTTCTAACTACATATCTGTGCGATGGTGGATTTCCTTCATATAGTTCAGCCAGAAAGCCATCACTACAGATGAATATTGAAATAGCTCTGACAATCCAGCTCTTTTTTTTTTTTCAGCCATCTTCTGTTAAACTGGATTATTTGAATCATAAAAGTATAAAATATTACCACTCTTCTTACTTTTTGATTTAGAATATAGTTTTTTTTCATAAACTGTGTTGTCTATAATATAGTGGATTTATTACTGATAATTTTCAATGTATTTAGATGTTTGTTTTAATTTCTCAATATGATAAGTAAACATCAATAGATAAAACTTATATAAACAAAAGTTCTTTGCAATTTCTGTAATTTTAAGAGTGCAAAGGAAGCCAAAAAGTTTTGAGTACCCTTCATCTGCATCTTGACTTTTTATTTTTTTAAAAGATTTTATTTTTATTTATTTTTGAGAGAGAGAGAGAGAGAGCGCACGAGCTGGGGGAAGGGGCAGAGGGAGAAGCAGACTCCCCGCTGAGCAGGGAGCCCGACGTTGGACTCTATCCCAGGACCCTGGGATCATGACCTGAGCCGAAGGCAGACACTTAACCGACTGAGTCAACCAGGTGCCCTGCATCTTGACTTTCTAAGACAGAATCAGAAGATAGTAAAATTTAAGTATGACTGTACCTTTTTGTTTCTTTTTTTTCCCCCACCCTTTTGTTTCTAAATTGTGGCTAGGTTTTTAAAGTATGGTTTGAGGAAGTGGTATTTAGAAATATCCTGTCCTTCATTGTAAAGGAAATAGTGTCTAAAGCTTTTATCATTGCAGTACATACTGCAATTTATATTTTGAAGCACTTAATTCAGATACTGTATCAGTACTACATATTTGTGTATCTCAGTATGTATTAATTTTTTTTGAGAGAGAGAGAGAGAGCGAGCTCTTGTATAAGTGCGACAGAAAGGGAGAGAGTGTGGAGCCCAATATGAGCCTGGATCTCATGACCCTAAGATCATGACCTGAGCTGAAATCAAGAGTCGGTTACTTAACCGAAAAAGCCACTCAGGCGCCCCTCAGTGTTTATTATTCTTTATAGTCAGATAAAATGCTTCTGGCTGATCTTTATTACGACCTTCTACCTTTAATTTCTTTCCTTTTTTTTGAACTTCGGTAGCTTTTAAAGATTTAAGTCTCATAGTTCATTTTTAATTACAAAAGGGACAATATACCTTTTTATTGGTGAGATCTGGCAGTTACCATTTTAACCAACTCATCAAACTTAGCACCATCCACATTGTACCCAGTGCTATGTAGTATTTGTGCCAAATATTTAACCTGAATGTAATCACGAAGAAATAATCAGAATAAGGAATATCCTTAAAGATGGCTAAGACTACTCAAAAAAGTCAAAGTTATAAAAACAAAAGGAGGGAAAGACAAAGGGATAATACTATTAAAGATAATCTGAAAATTATTGGATCCTGGATTAGGGTGGGGAGAGGGAACTATAAGACATTTTTACCACAGTTAGTGAAATTTAAATATGGACTATCAGATAATATTATTAAATTAACATTAGTTGTCTTAGATACAAAGGTGGTATTATGATGATGTATGAAAGATTGTCCTTCTTGCTGAGGTATTTATTAGGAGTGAAGGGTCATGACCTCTGCAGCTTCCTTTTGAATAGTTCTCTAAAAAAGTATGTGCGTTTGTTTTCTTAAGCAAATGAAAGTATGTGAAACAAAATGTTAATAGTAGGTGAATCTGGCAAAGGATATGCAGATTTTCATTGATCTGCCTTTCCAATTGTCATAGATTTCAGTTACTTAAAAATAAAGAGTTGGGGAGGGTTTTCCAAACAGTGGTAACAGCTGGCATATAAGCATTTGCTTCCAGTTTTCCCTCCCATACATCAACATCAACAAAAATAATTTTAAGAAAAGAAAAATCCTAACATCAAAAAAAAGGAGTACTGACATCTCATTTATGAATTTTTTTTAAATAATCCTAACTAAAACAATAGCAAATTAAATACAGTACTATATTAAAATAAACTTTATCCCAGGATTTTTTTTTTTTTAAATATTTTGTTTATTTATTTGACAGACAGAGATCACAAGTAGGCAGAGAAGCAGACAGATAGAGAGAGGTGGAAGCAGGCTCCCTGCAGAGCACAGAGCCCGATGTGGGGCTCGATCCCAGGACACTAGGACCATGACCTGAGCCGAAGGCAGAGGCTTTAACCCACTGAGCCACCCAGGCGCCCCTATCCCAGGATTATTAACCTGTCAAATATTGTTAAGTCTATTACAATAACTATTAAATTTATTATTTTAGTTCCTTCAATCCATAAGTTAAAGGACAAGGAATAGTATAAAATAAGCTTGGTATATGAAATTCTCAGTAAAGTTAAGAACAAGAGGAGGATGAGTATTAATCTAATACTTGAATTTTTCCTAGACATTCTATAAATCCTGGCTTTGCCACTTAGTATTTCTGTAACCTTGGTCATGCCTCCATTTCATCCACTATAAAATGGTCTTAATAATTATCTACCTTTGGGGCACCTGCGTGGCTCAGTGGGTTAAAGCCTCTGCCTTCGGCTCAGGTCATGATCCCAGGGTCCTGGGATCGAGCCCCACATCAGGCTCTCTGCTCAGCAGGGAGCCTGCTTCCTCATCTCTCATCTCTCTCTGCCTGCCTCTCTGCTTACTTGTGATCTCTGTCTGTCAAATAAATAAAATCTTTAAAAAATAAAAATAAAAAATAATTACCTACCTTCTAGAAATTTTTAGTATTAAATGAGTTAACATATGTAAAGTGCTGAGGGTATTGCCCGGCACATATAATTTAGTTATTACTTTTCTAGAAAATGAAACAGAAATGACATTAAAATTTTGGAATGACCAAAAACAAATGAACATTAAATGTAATCATTAAAATCATTAAAAGTAATAGGCTCGTCCACCTAGAAAATGTTAAGTGAATCAACTGAAAAGTTCTCAGAACCAGTAAACAGTTAATGGGGAGAGGGTAACTATAAGACATTTGTATAGGTCATAAGGTTTTCTATCAATAACTGGTTATCATCAGGAAAAATTTGGCATTTATAAATACACAAGTATTCAAAGAATAAAATTCAAAAGAAATATGAGGGACTTATATGATGGAAACTTATGAAATACATAGAAATTACTTAAATATATGGAGAGAGAGAACATGTTAACATGTTTTGTTTTCATGTTTTTAATGAAAGATTGTAAGAATGCCATTTTCTCTTAAATTATTATATAATTTGAACTCAATTCCAATTTAAATTTTATTTTCACCTGGACATATTGATGACCAAGAGGTTCCCAGAACATTTACACACAAAGTATAATAAAGGAGTACTTTCCATGTCCAGTGTTCAAATGTTTATTTCTCTACTAATTTTAAAAGCTTGGTACTGGTGCAGCAAAATACAGACAAACTAGTAACACAAGCAAAGATCCAGAAACCAACCCAAGTGTATATAAAAATGTGTAATCAAGGCAGCATTTTTTTAATCAATAGGTAAAGGTTAAATTATTTGTTAAATGATTTTGGGGTCGTGGGTAGATATTTTGGCAGGAAAAGTTAGATTTCTACATTATATCATATAATAAAATGAATTCAAGGGGAAATGAGAATTTCTTTGTTAAAAATGGAACTATGTAAATCCTAACAGAAAATATAGAATAAAAGAAAAAATCTTTAATCATACACTTAAAGTGGAAACCATAAAGTACAAAATTCATCAATAGAATTACATAAAAATTAGTATTTCTGTTACATTAAGAATTATATAAATTTCTGTTAACATTAAGGATTATATAAATTAAATTGAAAGTAAATAATCAAAAATAAATATTTGTGACATGACAGTCTTGTAAATCAAAAGGAAGGCTTTATGTTAAGCAAAATAAAGTAAGAAGTAGGAATAGTATTATCCATATTTAGAGGGAAAAGATCTATGAATAGCAACCGGCCTGGAGGATACACTCAAAAATGTTAACAGTATGCTCTATTTAGATCAGTACATGATTTTTATCTTCTTTGCTTTTCTATATTTTGTAAACTTTCAACAAGAAACATATGTTACTTTCATAGTAAAAAAATAAAGCTTTAAATGAATTACGTGTGCTGTCTTTTGAGAAATATTTCTTGACATCCAGTTTTTTGAATAGAGGAGTGGTGATCAGTTGTAAGTTTCCGCAAGCCTTGGACCAGGGGAATCTGTTTTCAGGACAGTTAAAACTTAGAGATAGAGTTTATGGTCACAGAAGATTCAAGAGTTTATTCTCGTTTTTTATTTCCTTTTATCGTTCAAAGGAGAATTGCTAGACAATAAATAGTACTTTCTTGGTCTATTTTGTTTTGGTTACAGACTAGAAGCAGCCAAAGATGATTATCGTATACGCTGTGAAGAGTTAGAAAAGGAAATCTCTGAACTTCGGCAACAGAATGATGAACTGACCACTTTGGCAGATGAAGCTCAGTCTCTAAAAGATGAAATAGATGTTCTTAGGTAAACGGTCCTCCCATCTTGTTACAATCTCGGGCCTGTCATCACCCAGAACACCTCTACCAATGATGTTACAAACTCTAGGATCTCTGAACACTGCATGGTGTTTAAGAGAACTTAACCCTACTGGACAATCTGAGTTCAGATTCCAGTGCTACCATTTATTTAATCTCTATGTAACCCTTTTCTCATCTGTAAAATGGAGGTGATGCACATACCCACCTCAGATTGATATGCAGAACGGAGTTGATATTTCTAAACAGCTGGGACAGTATCTGGCAAGTACATGCTATATAAATGTTAAATAGAAATTAACCTCCAACCGTCGCTTCATACTTGCGTAGCTCTGGAGCTTTTCTTATTACGACTCCTTTTCTTTAATTTCAAGCCCTCTGGTCACAGTCTTCCTCTTCCTTGGATGCTGTCACACCCACGAGGAGTCATTTCCTTGCTGGACCATTTTATCTGCACTTTGCCTGTTCCTCACTAAGTGCCTTCACTCCCTGCCACCTCATTTTCTGACCATTCCACTTGTATAATCTATATCCTCTGTTGGATCATTCCAGCCATTTTAACTTTTGCTCTTTGAATACTGAGAAGGAATAGAGAAAATCACATAGTGCTGTAGTTTTGTCCTGCTACAAATTCATGATCTTTACTCTTCATTGGGTTCTTACCTGTGGTCCACCATTCTACTGCTCATCGTAGATAGTTCTGTCTCCCATTCCTCTCATAGCTAGTACATATTTCCATAACTTCTCACTGGATACCCACCCCCCATACTTCTCCATGCTTAGTGTCAGTGGATGACATTGTCTCCTGCTGCATCAAGGAAAGGGGCCATGAACTGTGGGACTCTCTATGTCCTGTACTTCCTGCACCTAACTGCCCTGCATTCCCACCTGTGTTTTCATTTTGCTTTTAGAATGTAGACTTGTTACTCTTTCTCAGGTCTAGTACTAATTCCTTTTTAAGTGCTCTGGATCTCAACACTTCTTGCTTACACAAGGACTGTGTTATATCAGTCATCATTTTTCTTAGCATTTGGATCTCCCACCTTAGCATACGTTTATATGTTTAGGTCTCTTTCCTCTTAGACAGAAAGACTTATTGCTCTCTGCTTCCCTCCAAAACAAATTTTAGATCACACAAGGTGAAATCTATATTGTCTCCTTAACTTCCTAAAATTTGCCACCTCCTGCCCCCACTACTCCATGAAAATAGCTGTTCCTGTGGTCATTAATAACATTCTAATTGCCAGATCGTTTGGACCCTGCACAGTTTATTTTGCTTTTGAGCTACATGTGACTCTGCTCGTTACCCCTCCCACACACACACCACCACCACCACTTGCTTTCCTTAAATTACATAACATTCTCCATTACACATTTTGCTGTGATTTTGGTCGTCATTTTTAGCCTGAACAAAACATTAATCTGGAATCACCTTTGGTCTTATAATTTCATTAGCATGTGTTCTTTTCTGGCATTCCCTCTTGGGTTAGCACTATTAAAACAGCTTTACAGCTCTGGATATGTTTCTGATTTCTGATTTCCCATCTCATTCTAGACATTCTTCTGATAAAGTGTCTAAACTAGAAGGCCAAGTGGAATCATATAAAAAGAAGCTAGAAGATCTTGGTGATTTGAGGCGTCAGGTTAAACTCTTAGAAGAAAAGAATACTATGTATATGCAGAACACTGTCAGTCTAGAGGAAGAGTTAAGAAAAGCCAATGCAGCTCGAAGTCAACTTGAGACATATAAGAGACAGGTAAAAAGAATAGTAACAAAGTTTCTTGATGATGTTTTCAAGCACGTTCTCCATTATAACATTGTGGCTTACCAAAAATCCACTTACTTTTGTTTTCAAGGTATTGTATTTTACCTGCGAAACTTAGGTTTTTTTGTTGTTTTTTCTTAACTCAGTTTTAAATTTTAATTCCAGTGTAGTTAACATTGAAACTTAATTCTTATCCAGTGGTTATTGACTAGTGTCCGTAGCAGATCCTTCTGTTGTTTTTTATTTTTAAATTATTATGTAATACAAAATACACAAAAGTAAAAGAATAATACAAGTGTCTATGCTTAAAGAATAAAACAGACTCTTCCCCTCTCCATTATAGTAACCACTATGCTGTTTTGTAGTTTTCATTCCATGCATCTCTTTATTCATTTGGTGCATATATATTAGTTCATATATATAATGTATAACACTTTTGACATGGTTCAGAACTATATAAATGATATAATAAAAGGGCTCTTCTATGATTTACTTTGCTCAGTGTATTTGGGAAATTTGTTTATGTTGATAGGTATAAAGATAGCTTTATTCATTTGTACCACTATATGCTATTCTTTTGAGTCACTATACCACAGTTTACTCATTTTCCATTGAAGGGCGTACAGGATGTTTTAACTTTTTTTTTTTTTTTTTTAATTATAAGTGCTACTATACATACAATGAGAACATGTACGTGTGTGAAAGTTTTACAGCTATAAGGAACCTCTTCCTTAGAGTATCTTCATTTAATTAGATATTGCTAAATTGTTCTTCAAAGTGACTGTATTACTAAACAGAAGTTTTATGAATTCCTCTCATTCTGCATCATCACTGACACATAGTATTGTCATACTTGAAATTTTGCCAGTTGGATGAATATGAAATAGTGTCTCCTCATGATTATACTTTGCATTACCCTAATTACAAATATATTTACCAATCACAATTCTTTTGCGAATGGCCCACTTTAAATCTTTCATTCATTTTTAAAACTATATTATTTTTTCTTACTGATTTCTGTAAGTTCTTTATATGTTCTTACTATTAATCTTTTGTCAGTTACACTTGCTGCGTTTATTTCCTGCGAATCTGTAACCTGTCTCTTTTTTTTTTTAGATTAATTCTAAGATAATGAACATTAAATATCTTTTTGTGATTTGTACCTTTTATGTCTTAAATCATTTCCTACATAAGAGTGTAAGCCAGTCTCTTATTTTCTTGACAAAGATTTAAAGTTTGTTTTGTACAGTTAGGTCTCTTATCCACATGGAATTAGTTCTTGTGTAGGATGCTAGGTTAAAGATCCAGGTGAAACTTTATTATCTGTGTAGGCAACCATTCAACCTAGTGCCATTTATTTAATAGTTTCTTCCACAAGGACCTGCAATTCTATCTTACAAGTACCTAAATTTTCCATCTTAAATATAAGTTTGTTTCTTGGCACTCTCTTCTGTTTCGCTGGTTTATTTGTCTAGTCTTACACCAATATCCCACTTATTATCTATAGATTTTTTAGTAATTTGATATTTGATAACACAGATAACACACACACCTTGTTCTTTTTCAAAACTGTCTGTTAGATCTTTTCCTTCCCTTTATACCCAAAACTTTTGGGAATTGGATTACATTGACGCTGTTGATTAATTTGGGGAGAATTGACATCTTTACGACAATGAATGTTCCTGTTGGTGAATACATCTTTCCATTTATTTAGGTCTTCAGTGTCTTTCAGTTATGTTTTATAAGTTTTTTCTAAATGTCATGTACATGTTTTGTTATATTTACTCTTGGGTACCTTATTTGGATTTTATAACTGCAGTTAGCAAAATAAAAGATACCATTTTTAGTTTGTCACTCATTTAAATGATTGAAATTGATTTTTATGTACATTTTACAACCATGCCAGATTCTCATATTACTTCTAATAATGTCTGTAGGGTCTCTCATCAGAAGTCATAGACAAATTAAAGCAGTTTTGTTTCTTTCTACTCCATACCCTTTTTCTTCTTAATCAGCACATTTGACTTGTAATACAGCTCTGAATAGAAGTAATCATAGTAGACAACCATTTCTTGTTGATTTTATATAGAATGCTTTAAATGTTTTACCAGCATATTATTAGCACGTTGAACTCCGGTTGTTTATCTTAAATGGAGGCTGAATTTAATCAGCTCCTTTTCCTACACTCTGGAGAGATTCCTGTACTACTTCTCCTTTCTATTAATGTGATTAACTATATTAACGTATTGTTGATGCTTAAACCATCCTTGTATTCGTGAGTTAAACTTCATAGAGTCACTGAGGATTTGTTGTTTTCACATTGTTAGTTTTGCTTTGTTCATTTTACATAGAATCTTTTTCCTCTATGATTCACTTGAAGTTCTCTCTCTCATACTTTTCTGATCTGATTTTGGTATCAAAACTATATACTAGCTTAAAATGAGTCAAAGAAGTTTCAGTAGAACAGCTCTATACACCCTGAATGACTGGCAGATTTTTTTGCTGGCTACATTTCTTTCCAACATTTTATTATAAACTTTTCAACACACAATAAAGTTGAAAGAATTAGTGAACTTGAACATGGCCTGAGAAATTACCCCAAATAAATGTACCCCAGGAAAACTATGTGTGAAATTTAAACATATGAAATTAAAATGAGGGGCTCCTGGGTGGCTCAGTGGGTTAAAGCCTCTGCCTTCAGCTCAGGTCATGGTCCCAGGGTTCTGGGATCGAGCCCTACATCGGGCTCTCTGCTCAGTGTGGAGCCTGCTTCCTCCTCTCTCTCTGCCTGCCTCTCTGCCTACTTACAATCTTTATCAAATAAATAAATAAAATCTTTAAAAAAATATATTAAAATGAGATGATTTAATTAGGGTTTCAGAAGAGAGAACAGCAAGAGTTATAGAAAGACATTATTTGAAGAAAAGAATGACTGAACAGGGGCACCTGAGTGGCTCAGTTGGTTAGGCATCTGCCTTCAGCTCCAGTCATGATCCCAGGGTCCTGCTTCTCCCTCTTCCTCCTTGTGCTCTGTCTCCGCCCCGCCCCCTCTGTCAAATAAGTAAATAAAGGAAAAAAAGCCTGAACATATTTTAGAACTAATGAAGTACACATCACAGATCGTATTAACAATGAATTACAAAATAAATAAGGAGTCAATAACTTGAAATATTGCAGTACAATTCTGTAATACATGAATTCTACCTATTTTGATCTGTGGCTTAATGTATTTTTTCAATGATAGCATTTTTCTTTCCACAGGTTCTCTGAGTGTTCTTTTAAACCTGCCCGATCATCTTCCTTTCATAATTTAGATTTGTGTCTTTATTCTTTTTATGTATTAAACCTTGTATTTTATAAATGATAATTCCAATCAAATCTTTATAGGTCTTATTCTACTACTTTATTGTTACTACTGTTAATGTTTTTCTAACTGGTGTTCATGGTCACTTCTTTATGGCCTTCGCTCTTTCATTTGGCTCATCTTTCTCTTCAGGAATGCTTGGGGGTTTGGTTGATGTTGTGTTCCTCCAGAGTGCATATGTTTTGTTTAGGCCATGTATTTCACAGCACTACCAACCAAGACTAAATTAATTGCTTGAGTTAAGATTTGCGAGATAAAGCATGTGATAAAAACAAAAACAAATCTATCTATTAGCAGGCCATAGTTAGAATTTCAAGTCACACTTCATTAAACACAGAGCACTCACTGTAAGACAGGCAATCTTCCTTACTGTTTTCCCAGCTAATGGATTTTTTCCTAACCAACCTGTTTACTGACTCAGCACCTTTTAAAGCCCAAGGTGGTTTAGCAACATCTTCTTTTAAATTCAGAGTTCTAGATTCCTGGTATTAACAGTTGGTGGGTGCTTCATGATACTGCATAGCTTCCACACAAACTTCTCACTGCAGTTTTTGCCCCTGAAGGTTTCCCTTACTTTCTTGTAAGCTTAGCTGTGCAATTGGACTGTTTTCCCTTCATGTTTCTTTGGCTTTGTGCTCAAAGAGTTCCAGACTCCTTTGTTACCTGTATAATAGGAAATGGAAGCCTGTTCTATAGGTTCTTTCATGATTTTGTACATTACTACTCCGGATGATCTGGTTTTAGAACCCATAATGTCTGGGCAGGTGTTTTCTACTAGATCTCTTGTTGGGGTAGACTGCTATGTCATACACATTTTTATTTATTTATTTATTTATTTTTAGTATATATGGGGCAGGGAGTTTTCATAGCTCTGCAAAAGAAAACAGTAAAAATTTTTAATGTTTCAAATTATACAAATTAATGGTACCTTTCTGAATCAGGTAGTAGAACTACAAAATAGATTATCTGAAGAATCGAAGAAAGCAGATAAATTAGATTTTGAATATAAGCGGCTAAAAGAAAAAGTTGACAGTCTTCAAAAAGAAAAGGATGTGAGTATAAGGCATTTTGGTTTTGAGCACTGCTAAAATTAAGATAATGATATTTGATTCCTTCTATTTATAAATTATTTAATTAGAGATCCTGTTTGTTTTTAAATTATAGAAGATTAACATGTTTCACAAATAAATCTAAAATAGAAGATTAAAAGAATATTTTTGGTTCCACTAATTTCTTTTGTATATCTTTATCTTTTTTATTACTATTGCTTCTTATACATTTTTCTGCTCATTACTTTCTAAAAATTTATGTAGCTTTTTGTTTTCTGTAGAATTGATACAGAGAACACAATTCTTTTTTTTGTTCAGCATATTTTGAATCTTTTAAAAATGTTTACTTTGTAATGGTTTATGAATATTTAAAGGCTTTGCTGTTTGATTTTTTATGTCTAATGAAAGAATGTTATTTATGTAATGTACTTAATGTTAAGGACAGAGTAGACACTTTTGTTTCTTATGTTTAACTGTGGATAACATTGTCTTACACATAGTAGATATTCAATATTGTTAAATGGGAACAAGTTTGTTATATTTTCCTTTTATGATCTTTCTGTGGAAGATCAAAAGGTGAAACGTGCCCATTTTCCCTGATGTTCATCATTCTCTTAGGTAAGGCAGAGGCCACTGATGACTAAATTCATAAAACTTATAACTTTCCTTCTTTTTAATGTCCCTCCAGAGGTTAAGAACAGAAAGGGATTCTCTGAAGGAAACCATTGAAGAGCTTCGTTGTGTACAGGCTCAAGAAGGACAACTCACAACTCAAGGTAAAAACTTTTCAGTAGCCAAGATTATTTATTTCTTATGGTAACAGTAGAAATTTTAGCTTCAGGGACTCCTGGGTGGCTCAGTTGGTTGAGTGGCCAACTCTTGATTTTGGCTCAGGTCATCATCTCAGAATCCTGGGATCAAGCCCCATGTTGTGCTCCACACTAAATAGGGAGTCTGCTTGAAGACTCTCTCTGCCTCTTCCCTCCTCCCCCACACTTACATGCTCTCTTTCTCTCTCTAAAATAAATTTTTAAAAAATTTTAGATTCATGGGGCACCTGGGTGGCTCAGTGGGTTAAGCCTCTGCCTTCGGCTCGGGTCGGCTCGGGTCATGATCCCGGGGTCCTGGGATCGAGCCTCACATCGGGCTCTCTGCTCAGCGGGGAGCCTGCTTCCTCCTCTCTCTCTCTCTCTCTGCCTGCCTCTCTGCCTACTTGTGATCTCTCTCTCTCTCTCTGTCAAATAAATAAAATCTTAAAAAAATAAATAAATAAAAAATTTTAGATTCATTTTAAAGTGCTTGTAACAATGGATGAAAATGAAAAATCAGTGAACAGGCCATGAAGTTGATATAAATTCTAAACTGTTAACCAGATTTTATGGCAAATAGGCTATAGTAATGAGACCAGATTTACTTGCCTATTTTGTATTTTAATTATATTTAAATATTTGAGTTTTATTAGGTCAAAGTGTAAACATTTGTTAAGTCACCTGCATTAATAGTAAATCTGGAAAGTTTTATTCTGGCAAGTTTCTTATAACCGCCTTAAAAGTCAAACTTTCTAAGTCAGTGGGGTTTTTGGTTTTTTTTTCCACCTGAGATGTGGGGTGGGTATCAATCCATTATAGGACTTCTGTCCAAAGTAGAGCTCTGCTCTTCTCACAGGGGAGGAGCAGCACTTACCTCAGAGTCAGTCCCTCCCACTTTTGTCATCATGCTGGCAGATGTGGAACCCAAACAGTGACTTGCACAGCTTCACAGTTGTTTGTGCCCCTCTAATATCCAGCCCTTGGCTTTTCAGTTACCTGAAACTGGAATTTCCTCTGACTATACCCTCCTTTTTCTCCTCCTCATTCATTCTACCTATTGCATTTCACCTTTAACCCCCTCTCTGTTGTTTCTGTTGATAAGCTGGATAGTTCTCTTCTGGCCCCTTTTTCCAGCTCACACAGTCTGCCAAGCAGCCATTTTAACTGTTTTCCTCACCACTGTCTTTCCTTATCTTAAAAACTTGTGAAACCCCAATTCAGATAGCCTAAAGTTTTTTTCTCTATTCCAAATTAACCAGGGCCAGCTAAAGACAATTATATATCTTTCTCTCTTTTCTTTTTTTTTTTTTTAAAGGTATAATTGGCATATAACATTATGTTAGTTTCGGGTGTACGATCTAATGATTAACTATTTGTATATATTCTGAAACGATCACCACACTAAGTCCAATTAACATCCATCAACATACATAGTTAGAAAATTTGCTTCTCTTGTGATGAGAACTTTTAAGATCTATTCTCAGCAACTTTCAGATATGTAATACAGTATTATTAACTATGGTCACCATACTGTGTACATTATATCCTTGTGACTTAGTTATATTGTATCTGGAAGTTTGTACCTTTTGACCCCCTTCACCCATTTTGCCCACCCTCTACATCCCACCTCTGGCAACCACCAATCAGTTCTCTATTTGTGAGCTTGGTTTTTTTTTTGTTCTTGTTTTTTGTTTTGTTTTCTTTAGCGTCCACATACAAGTGACATCACACAGTATGTCTGTATGTATCAGACATACATCTGTTTTCCTGTATTTGAGTTATTTCACTTAGTGTCATGCTCTCAAGGTGCATAATACCACAAATGGCAAGATTTCATTCTTTTTATGGCTGAATAATATTTATACACACAAACACATGCCCCCTACAATTTGTTTATCCATTTATCAATTGATGAAACTTAGGTTGTTTCCATAAGGGCACAGATACCTTCTCAAGTTAGTATTTTCATTTACTGTGGATAAATTCCCAGAAGAGGAATTGCTGGGTCATTTGCTATTTCTATTTTTAATTTTTTAAGGATCCTCCATACTCTTTTCCACAGTGGCTACACCAAATTACATTCCTTCCAAAAGTGCACAAGGGTTCTCTTTTCTCCACATCATCACAGCTTATTATCTCGTCCTTTGGATAATAGCTATTCTAACAGGTGTGAGGTGACATCTCATTGTAGTTTTGATATGCCTCTCCCTGATGATGAGTGATATTGAACATCTTTTCATGTGTGTGTTGGCCATCTGTTTGTCTTTGTAAAAATGCCTATTCATATCCTCTGCCCATTTCTTAATTGTTGTTTTTGCAGTTGAGTTGTATGAGTTCTTTGTTTTCAGTATTAATCCCTTATCAGATGTATAATTTGCAAGTTATTTTCTTCCATTTATTACATTGCCTTTTCATCTTGTTCATAGTTTTCTTTGCTGTGCAGAGGTTTTTTAGTTCATAGTAGTCAGAAATAGACTTTTGCTTTTGAGAAAAGTATGTATTTTTACACACACATACACACATAATTATTTCTGAATGTAATTGGACCCTTGTTGCTGCTTGGTAATCCTTTCATGTATCTCAGACCAACTGTATGAGATTTCCCAAAATTTAGGAATCAGCCTAAGCCTTAATTCTTTAACTTTCAGCTCCTTTGTCATCAAGAGAGGCCATCTTATTTAAATTTACACATTTGTTTCTTTGGTACCTATAAACCTCTTATGTTTTAACCTTATTTATGTATATGTTGTTGACCTAGGAATTTTGCTCTAAAAATTTACCCTAATAAACTACAGCGTTGTTTACGATAGTAAAATTTAGAAACAACCTAAAAGTTAGCAGTCTTACTCAACTGTATCCTGTAGAGCCATTAAAAGGAATGAAGTAGATCTTACATGCCTGACATGGAGAATTGTGTATGTTATATCATTAACTTTAAAAAATAAGTTGGTGACATTGTGATAAACTTAGCAAGAGTGTTCTAAGAATAGAAGGAAACTTCCTGAACCTAATCAAGGATAACTATGAAAAACCTACAGCCAACCTGACACTTACTGCTTTTCCCCTAAGATCAGAAACAAGGCAAGGATGATCACTTTTTTTTTTCCTATTTTGTTATTATTTACTAAACTCCAATATAGTTAACATACAGTGTTATATTGGTTTCAAGTGTACAATATAGTGATTCAGGAATTCTGTACATTTCTTAGTGCTCATCAAGATAAGTGTACTTAATCCCCATCACCTATTTCATCCATCCCTCCACTTTCCCTCTGGTAAGTTGTGTGTTCTCTGTAGTTGAGTGAAAGTCTACTTTTAGGTTTGTCTTTTTTTTTTTTTTTTTTTTTTTTTTTTTTAGAGAGATAGAGAGTGGAAGCAAGGAGGGATCAAGGGAGAGGGAGAGAGAGAATCTTAGCATTATACTCTCTAGCTCCATCGATGTTGTTGCAAATGGCAAGATCTCATTCTTTCTTATGGCCAAATACTATTCCATTGTGTGTATGTGTGTGTATATGAGTTGTGTGTGTGTGTGTGTGTGTGTATATACCACCTCTTCTTTATCCATTTATCTATCATTGGATACTTCAGCTGCTTCCATAATTTGGCTGTGGTAAATAATGCTGCAGTAAACATGGGGGTGCATATAAGGATGTTCACTCTTGCCACTTCTTTTCATCATAGTATCAGAGGTTCTAGGCAATACAGTCAGGCAAGAAAAGAAATAAATGGCATTCAGATTGGAAAGGAGGATGTAAAAAAAGATCATAGAACTAGTAAATGAGTTCAGCAAAGTCTCAAGATAAAAGATTGGTATATAAATAGCAACTGTATTTCTGTGTACTACTAGTAAATAATATGAAAATGAAACTACAGTAGTATCATAAAGATTAAAATGCTTGGGAATAGGTTTAACAAAGTGTAAGACTTGGATACTGAAAACTATAAATCATTGCTGAGATGAAGACCCAGATATATGGGGACTCCTGAGTGGCTCAGTCAGTTAAGTGCCTGCCTTCAGCTGAGGTCATGATTGCCAGGGTCCCAGGGTTGAGTCCCACATCAGGCTCCCTTTTCAGCAAGGAGCCTGCTTCTCCCTCAGCCTGCCACTCACCGGTGCTTGCACTTGCTTTCTCTCACTCTCTCTCTCTGACAAATAAATAAATAAAACCTTTTAAAAAAAATCTAGCTATATGGAGAGACAGTCCATGTTCTGGTATCAGAAAATTAACTCTAGTTAAGATTGCAGTTCTCTTTATTGATTTAAAGATGTGGTGCGATCCCAGTCAGATTCTTAGTACACTTCTTTTGTAGGAATGGACAAGCTGATCCAACAATTTATATGATACAACAAAGGAACTAGTATAACAAAAAAAAATCATGGGAAGGAAAAGTTTGGACAGCTCACACATTCTAGTTTCAAAACATAATAAAACTACTATAATTGAAATGCATGAAATTCACATAAGGATAGACATCTCAAGATAATAGAGTGTAGCACATGAATAAAATGAAGGAAAAAAACCACCTGATCATCTCAATTGATGCAGAAAAGGCATTTGACAAAGTCTAACACCCTTTCATCATAAAATACATGCACACACACACCACAAACACCTCAATAAATTGGGAAGAGAAATAGAAAGGGAATTTCCATAACATGATAAAAACTATATATGACAAACCCACAGTGCACATCATACTCAGTGATAAAAGACTGAACGCTTTTCCTTTAAGATTAGAAGCAAGACAATTATACCAACTACCACCACTTCTGTACTTCTATTCAAAATAGCACAGATGCTCTAGCCAGAGCAATTAGACCAAAATTTTTTTTAAACATGAATTGGAAAGGAAGAACTAAAACTATCTCTGCAGATGACATGATCACCAAAATCAAAAAACATCTCCTGGAACTAATAAAATGAATTCAGCAAATTTGCAGGATACAATTCAGTTACATTAGCTACAAAAATAAATTATATGTGCATAATGAACAATACAAAAAGGAAATTAAGAAAATTTTATTTACAATAGGATCAAAAAGAATAAAGTATTTGGAAATAAATTTAACCAAGGAGGCAAAGACTTGCACCCTGAAAACTGCAAAAGTATTGAGATAACAATACTACCAAAAGCAATCTACAGATTCAGTGCAATCCTTACTAAAATATTAATGGCATTTTTGCAGAAATAGAAAAACCCATCCTAAATTCATATGGAATGTCAGTGGACCCTGACTAGCTAGAATAGTCTTGAAAAAGAAAAAAGTTGGGAGAGCAATCGAAGCAGTGGGTATAGGCATTAAGGACAGTCATGTAGACCGATGGAATAGAATAGAGAGCCCAGAAATAAACCCTCCTATATGTGGTCAGTTGATTTTCAAAATCAGTGTGAAGAACATTCAGTCCTGGAACTGAAAGTCTTTTCAACATACTATGCTGGAAAAACTGGATATCCACATCCAAAATCATGAAGTTGTACCTTATGCCATATTTAAAAAATGGAACTCAAAATGGATAAAAGACCTAAATGTAAGGGTTAAAACTATAAAACTTTTAGAAGAAAATGGGGAATTGTCATGTCATGCCTCTGGATCTGCTTCTTGGAATTGATACCAAAAGCATAGACAATAAATGAGGAATTGGACTTCATCAAAATTAAAAATTTTGTGCATCAAAGAACAGTATTGATAGTGAAAAGGCAACCCATAAAATGGGGAGAAAATATTTGTAAATCATCTATTCAATAAGTGGTTGATTTCCAGAATATGTAAGAATTTATACAACTCAACAAAAGCAAAAAAATTACTAAGTTCACTAATGGTTAAAGCACTTGAATAGATATATCTCCAAAGAAAATACACCAAAAAAAAAAAAAAAAATCACATGAAAAGCTGCTCAATATCATTGTCATTAGAGACATGCAAATCAAAACCACAGTGAGATGGTTCTCATCCATTTGGAATGGGTTATTACCCAAAAAAGAGAAACAGGAATAATTCTTGGGAAGCATGTGAAGAAATTGGAACTCTCATGCCTTGCTGGTAAGAATGGGTGGTTCTTCAAAAAGTTAAATATAAAATTACCACATGATCCAGCAACTTCATTCCAAAGTAAATATCCAATTCAAAGCAAGGACTCAAGCAAATACTAGTTTACCAATGTTTGTAGCAGCATTATTCACAGTAGCCAAAAGATGGAAACAACCTGAATGTTCCTCAGCAGATGAACAGATCAAGAAAATGTACATATATGTATTTGTATACATATACGTAGCCAATGGAATATTATTTGGCCATGAAAAGAAATGAAGTGTGATAAATTCTGTAACATGGTTGAGTTTACAGAACATTCCGAATGAAATAATCCAGACACCAAAGGATAAATATTGGTATGATTTAACTTATGTGAGGTATCTGGAATGGGCAGATTTATTGAAACAGAAAGTAAAATAAAGTTTATGGGGACTAAGGAAGAAGGGAATTCGGGAGTTATTATTTAATGGTTATTAATTTATGTTTTGGGGTAAGGAGTTTTGGAAATAAGTAGGGGTTCCACAACATAGTGAATGGAGTTATTGCCACTCAGTTATACACTTCACAATTGTTAAATGATAATATAAGGTGATTGTGACATGGTCTTTTACTTAACTAAAACGAAAACTTTAAATGTTAAAATTTTTAATGCGTAAAGTCGGGTTTCATGTAGAAACTAAAGGAATTCAGTGTACTCTCTCTACAACCTTGGATCCTTGTTTGTGTATTTACAGGGTTAATCCCTCTGGGAAGTCAAGAATCTTCAGATAGTCTGGCAGCAGAGATTGTTACACCTGAAATCAGGTAAGGAGATCATGAAATTTAGTCGTGCTGCACAGTATTCCTGGAGAAAACTTATCCCTCGGCAGTATAAAGAGGATCAGTTTCTTACTCATTTTTACTAACAGTTTCAACATGAACTCCGTATTTAATGTCTGTGTTTGCACCTCTTCAGTTGGCCGAAGAGACTTGATTTTCCCATTTCAGTAGGACAATATTTGACACATTCACAGCAAACTAATATATTCATGATTGGATATCCTTACAAGACATTTAGCAGTGAAACCACTTGGCTTAAAGACAGGTTATGCGTAGCCAACAGCCTGCGAAGTTAGTCACTAAAATTTATTTCTTAACTACATGAAATGGTCTGGGAAAGATATAATAGAAATATCTCCCCATTTCTACTACTCTTGCCTCGATATTACCTTACATTCTTATTTAGTCATAGCATCTGTAAAATTCCATTTTTTCGCTATATACCTGGTTTGATATGGAAGAATGAAGAATGAAGGGAGAGGCACCAAGTATCCAGCAGAAAGAGGATGGTTAATTCTGAATATTGCTTTTACCCTCTTTGGGACTATTTGCCCCCTTTAAAAATTGACACTGGCCTTGACTCTTCATAGCATCTTTGAGGGGTATTAAATGAAATAAGGGTTGTGTAAGAGTTTTATGAAAAGTCTGAAAGTTACCATAGGCATTTAGTTACTTGTTGAGTAAATGACGACAAAATTGATTCTTGTTAGCATTTATTTAAGGAAGACAAACAAAAGGAGTACGATGCAGCACCAACACTGGAAGCCTCTTGTATACCTTTTACTTTTCTACCATCTGATGTGGTACTTTATTATTGGGCCAATAATATTTGTAGAATGAATGAACTTTTTTTTATTTATGAATGCTTCCAAGTACATGGCTATACCAAAAAAATAAAAGTTTTGGAGTGCCTGGGTGGCTTAGTCAGTTAAGCATCTGACTCTTGATTTCGGCGCAGGACATGATCTCAGGTCATGAGATGGAGCCTCTGTGCTGGGTGTGGTCTGCTTAAGATTTTCTCCCTCTCTCCCTCCTCCCCTTCCCCCACTCATGCATACACACTCATTCTCTCATCCATAAGTAAACAAAGAAATAAAAAATTTTAAAAACAGTTTTTAAGGAAGCTTTTAGGTTATACAGTTGATTCAGAGGTGCCGAGCCTGAGGAAGAGAAAAATGATATTCAACAAATGAAATGGCTTTTTTGAGTATGACGCAATACAAATTCAAATATACTGTTTCCAGAAGAGCCATCAAGAAAATGAAATGGTAAAAGAGATGAAATATAGCACTGTATTAGTTGAAGGTGTACAACTTGATAATATATGTCTGTATTGTAAAATAAATTTATTGATCCCTGCAATAAATTTAGCTAACATTCATCACCACGCATAATTATAATTATATTTTCTTGTGGTGGTACAACTTTTCCTTTGAGCAGTTCAGCAGAATATGGATAGTGTCTACAAATATCCGCAAAATTACTCTCTAGAAATTAATCCTAAGGAAATAACCAATAAAGCTGATTGTTATTAACATGTTAAAGTTCAGAATTGATATTAAATTCCGAATAATTGGGCATTGATTAAATAAATAACAATTCATCTATATTGTTTAACGTGTCATTTAAAGTATTATATTACCATTGATGTGTAATATTTAATGATATGAAAAGATTGTGAATAAGTGTAAATAGCAGATGCAGCTCTAATAATCCAGCCTGTTAGCAAGAATACAATTTACCATATTTATAGGAATGGGTGGAATCCATATCTTGAAGGCATTCTTCATTGAATATTATATCTTGCCACCAAGTGATTAGCAGTTCAAGAGCGTAGCATTAGAGACCATGTTTTTTGATGAGAACCAAGGAACAAATATATAAGTGCATTCATAGCCTAAACATTTAAACCAAAAAGTAAATAAAATTTTGAAATGGCATTAATTACAAATCATAATATTTGAAGACGCTGTTATCTTCAGATTATCCATTCTGAAAAGAAAGTACTGAAGACCTGAAATGTAAAATCTTAGCCAGTTACAAGAGCTAAATTCTTTGCAGGGTTGTTTTTTGTTTTTTGTTTTTTTCATTTCTGTTCTCTGTGTCAAATCTGTTAATTGTGCATAGCTGGATTTTGATAATATGGTATTGATGTGCCACATAACCAGTTTTTCTTTTGCTCATTCAGGGAGAAACTTATTCGTCTTCAGCATGAGAATAAGATGTTAAAAATCAACCAAGAGGGTTCAGACAATGAAAAAATCGCTTTATTGCAGAGTCTTCTGGATGATGCAAATCTCCGTAAGAATGAACTGGAGACAGAGAACAGGTAGGAGTGTGTTGATGGCAGCATTGCGGCACAGGTTTTCTCTGTTTTCCTTGATGTTGATTCCCTTAAACACAGATTTTAATTGTATTTTGAATACAGATAATGTGTTATTCCATTTCGTGTTGAGAGGGGTTAATCCATTTTCCTACTTAGGAACAGACTTGTGGATAAGTATTGTGCCTCTTTTCAGCAACATTTCCCTGTTTATTTCTTCAAGCAGAATGATATCAGACCCCTCCCCTTTTTCGTTTCTATTTGCTGATTAAAAGTAGAGGATTAAAAAAGAGTCTGATCATTAATTCAGTCTTCCACAACAACTTCAGTTCTATGTATTACTAGATTAATAAAGTTTACCCTGTTTTTATAAGCTAATATGTTGAAGGATCAGTTGATGTGAGAAAAAGAGGATCCATCATAACTGAATGGACAAGAACTTAAAAAAAAAAAACTGTGAATTCTTGTGAGCCTTAAATGTCATTCATCTTATAAACAATTATGAGGGTTTAGAATCTGCAAATTAAACAAGAAAACCACTTTTCTGCTTGTATGTTTTCAGTATATCGAATTATGCAGTCATTCAAAACTACTTTAAAGTAGTAGCTTACTCTGGAAAGGATTACTTTTATATTTTGTTGTGAAAGTCTTTTGGTTCTTTACGTTTTTGGAAATGTTTCTTAGATACCGAACATATGGTGTCTTTTCCTTTCCATAGTGCTGTGATGTGCTATAATTTTTGAGGGATTTGACATTTTTATTAATGGTTTCATAGTTTGCCTGATATTACAGATTCTTTGTTTATTATGCCTAATTGATTTGGCACTTCCCAGGTGTAAGTCAGTCTTGTGAGTCCACATTGTTTTTACAATTTTACATGCCCTGCCCTTCTTGGCACTTTAATTTTTAAAGCTGCTGAGTAGAACCGGCAAACAGTATAAATACCAGAGTAATTATTAGAGCACAGTTAAGCATAAACAGAAGGAGAACAGTTTTGTGTGAATTCTTAGAGCATAGAGAATGAATACTTTTTAAAAATACTTAGAAAAGGTTTTTAAAAAGGAAGAAAAGGGAGTTGCAGAAAGCAGCTCCCAGTCCCACAGTCCCATGGTGAGAGCACCCTCTGTTCAACACCATCATCCTTTGCCTCTAGGCTATATTTTAACCATCTTACAGGAAGGCCTTCTCTGTACCCTAATTTTTTTCCAGTGAATCAGCACCCACAACTTCCTTTATAATGCTTTTCATTGTTTCTCACAGGCTTTATAGTTATTGGCCTTCTCTCATCAGAAACAAAACAACTACTTGTCATTTGAACAGCACTCATGTTGTAGGTGATGGATTATCTCCCAAGTCCTGATGGCATTTACAGCTGTTTACAACTTAGTATTGTTTGTTCTCTCTCTGTTTTTTTTAATCATTTTACCTTCTCTTATTTTTTCATCATGATCAATGTACTCTTTAATCCCAATCCCTTCTTTCCCCCATCCCCACACCCACCTCCCTTCTGAAAACCATCAGTGTGTTCTTTATGGTTAAGAGTCTGTTTCTTGGTTTGACTTTTTTTTCTTTCCTTTGCTTATTTGTTTTGTTTCTTAAATTTCACATATGGATAAAATATAGTATTTGTCTTTCTCTGGCTGACTTACATCTCTTAACATTATACTCTCTAGCTCTCTGATGTCATTACAAATGGCAAGACTTTATTCTTTTTTATAACTAATATTCCATTGTATATGTACCACCTCTCCTTTATCTGTTCACCTATCAGTGGGCATTTGGCTGCTTCCATAGTTGGGCTGTTGTAAATAATGCTGCAGTAAACATCGGGCTGCGTGTATCCTGTTGAATTAGTATTTTTGTATTTTGGGGTAAATATCCAGTAGTGCAGTTACTGGATCATAGGGTGGCTATATTTTTAACTTTCTGAGGAACCTCCATGCTGTTTTCCTTGGTGGCTGCACCAGTTTGCATTCCCGCCAATAGTGCGGGAGGGTTCCTTTCTCTCCATTGCTCATCAACACTTGTTTCCTATGTCTTTGATTTTAGCCGTTCTGACAGGTGTGGGGTGATATCTCATTGTAGTTTTGATCTGCATTTCCCTGATGATGAATGATGTTGAGCATCTTGTCATGTATCTCTTGGCCATCTGGATATCTTCTTTGGAGAAATGTCTGTTCATGGGGCACCTGGGAGGTTCGGTTGGTTAAGTGTCAGACTTCCACTTGGGTCATGATCTCAGGGTCCTGGGACTGAGCTCCACATCAGGCTCCCTGCTGAGCGGGGAGTCTGCTTATATCTCTCTCTCCCTTTTGCCCCTCCCCCTGCTCATGCTCACTTGCTCACTCTCTCAAATCAATAAATGTTAAAAAAAAGAAATGTCTGTCTGTGTCTTCTGCCCTTTTTTTAAATTGAATTTTTTGGCTTTTGGTTGTTGAGTTGTATATGTTTTCTGTATCTTCTGGATACTAACTCTTTTTTTTTTTAATTTGAAGATTTTATTTATTTATTTGACAGAGAGAGAGAGATCGGGGTAAGCAGGCTCCCTGCTGAGCAGAGAGCCCAATATGGGGCTCAATCCCAGGGCCCTGAGATCATGACCCGAGTAGAAGGCAAAGGCTTAACCCACTGAGCTACCCAGGCGCCCCAAGGATACTAACTCTTTATCAGACATGTCCTTTGAAAATATCTTCTCCCATTCCATAGGTTATCTTTTAGTTCTGTTGTTTGCTTGCTTTGCTGTGCAGAAACTTTTTATTTTGATGTAGTCCCAGTAGTTTGTTTTTGCTTTTGTTTCCCCGCTTCGCGAGACGTATCTAGAAAAATGTTGCAATGGCTGAAGTCAGATTACTGCCTGCACTCTCTTTAAGGATTTTTATGGTTTTAGGTCTCACATTTAGGTCTTCCACCCATTTTGAGTTTATTTTTGTGTATGGTTTATGTTTGGATGATCTGTCCGTTGATGTAAGTGGGTGTTGCAGTCCCCTACTATTACTGTATTACTATAGATTAGTTCTTGTTGGTTATTAACTGTTTTATGTATTTGGTTCTCCCATGTTGGGTGCATAAATTTTTTAAATTGTTATATCCTCTCATTGGATTGTCCCCTGATATAGGGTCCTTCTTTGTCTCTTGTTACAGTCGTTTTGTTGTTGTTTTTTAAAGAGTTTATTTATTTGAGGGGTGCCTGGGTGGCTTGGTCGGTTAAGTGTGTGCCTTCAGCTCAGGTCATGATCCCAAGGCCCTGGAATGAGGCTCCCTACTCAACGGGATGCCTGCTTCTCCCTTTCCCTGCTTGTTCTCTTGCTTTCTCTCTCTCAAATAAAGATTTTACTTATTTGAGAGAGCAAGAAAGCATGAGTCAGGGTGAGGGGCAGGAGAAGCAGACTTCTCGCTGAGCAGGGAGCCCAGCGCGGTGCTCAAGCCCAGGACCCTGAGACCAAAACCTAAGCCAAAGGCAGATGCCCAAACAACCGAGCCATCCAGGTGCCCCTGCAGTCTTCATTTTAAAGTCTACTTTGGGGTCGCCTGGGTGGCTCAGTGGGTTAAGCCGCTGCCTTCGGCTCAGGTCATGATCTCAGGGTCCTGGCATCGAGTCCCACATCGGGCTCTCTGCTCGGCGGGGAGCCTGCTTCCCTCTCTCTCTCTCTCTCTGCCTGCCTCTCTGTCTACTTGTGATCTCTCTCTGTCAAATAAATAAATAAAATCTTTAAAAAAAAAAAAATAGTAAAGTCTATTTTGTCCATTATAAGTAATGCTACCCTGGCTTTCTTTTGACAACTATTTGCATGATAAATCTTTCTCCATCCCCTAACTTTCAATCCACAAGTGTCTTTAGGTCTCAAATGAGTCTCCTGTAAGCAGCATATAGATGGGTCTTGTTTTTCTATCTACTGTTACCCTGTGTATTTTAATTGGAGCATTTAGTCCATTTACCTTCAGTGTAGTTATTGATAAATATGTATTGCTGGTTTTGTTACTTGTTTTTTGGTTGTTTCTATAGTTTTTCTGTGATCCTTTCTTCCCTTGCTCTATTTCATGGTTTATTGGCTTTCTTTCATGATGTATTTGGATTCCTTTCTCTTTATTCTTTGCATATCTATTATTGGTTTTTGATTTGTGGTTACCATTAAGTTTGTATATAATATCTTCTGCATATAGCAGTCTATATTAAGTTTAAACCCATTTTTTACTCCTCTGTCCCACTGCATGTTTTAGGCATATAGTGTCATGTGTTATATCCTTTCATGAACCCCTTGACTGAATTTAATAGAAATACTTATTTTTACTACTTTTGTGTTTTTTACTTCTCATACTCCCTATGGCCTTTCCTATCTACTCAGAGTCTCCTTTCATATTTCTTGTAGGGCTGGTTCAGTGGTCATGAATTCCTTTAGTTTCTGTCTGAGAAACTATCTATCCTTCCATTCTGAATGATAGCCTTATGGGATAGAATATTCTTGGCTACAGATTTTTCCCTTTCAGCATGTGGAATATCATTCCACCCTTCTGTCCTGTGAGGTTTCTGCTGAGAAATCTACCAGTAGCTTTATGGGGTTTCTCTTGTATGTAACTGTTTTTTCTTGCTGCTTAAAAAAAATTTTTTAATCCCTATTTCCTGCCATTTTATGTGTGTTGGTATGAACCTTTTTGGGTTGAACTTTTGGGGGCTCTCTGTGCCTCCTGGATCTGGATATCTGTTACCCTCCCCAAATTTGGGGAGTTTTTAGCTATTTCTTCAAATAAATTTTCTGCCCTCTTATCTCTCTCTCCTTCTGAGATCCCTGTCATATAGATGTTATTACCTTTGATGGAGTCACCAGTTTCAGAAGGCTATCCTGAATTTGCTTAATTTTCTTTACTCTCCTTGGCTTAGTTTGGTTACTTCCCATTGCTCTTTCAGGTCATTAATTTGTTCCTCCACTTCATCTGGCCTGCTGTTTATTCCATCAAGTATATTTTTAATTTCATGTGTTGTGTACTTCACCTTTGATTGGTTCCTTTTA